GCAACTCTGATGCAGTGCCTAACTTTTAGGTGACTTGTGACCCAGTGAAATCCATAGCCTTGCGTTAGAAGGCCTAGGCTTCCTATACAATGCATAGGAAGAGTTAGGCACTAAGAATGGGGTCCACAGAAGACAGCACGTTGATCAGGGAGCAGCCTAAGGGTATGTCTACGCTGCAATTAGACACCTGCAGCTGGCCTGTGCCAGCTGACTTAGGCTTGCAAGGGGGCCAGGTGGTCTGGCAGAAGGGCTGTTTAATTGCAGTGAAAATGTTTGGGCTTGGACTGCAGCCTGATTTCTGGGACCCTCCCACTTCACAGGGTCCTAGAGCCTGCGCCCCAGCCTGAGCCAGATCGCCAAAATCACAATTAAATAGCCCCTTAGGCCGAGCCCTGCGAGCCTGAGTCAGCTGGCATGGGCCAGCCACAGGTTTTTAATTGTAGTGTAGACATACCTTGAAGAATTATCTGATGTGTTGATTTTCCTTTATTGAAGAAAATTATTACAGATTGTGTAAACAAATTCACCTTTGCTTGCCTCTCTTTTATCCACTGGTTAACCTACTGGCCTAGAAGTGTCTCTTACTTATATGAAAGTTTCTGCCCACAAATCTGATTAGCATACGTGGTCCATATGTGGTCTCAGAGTTCTGTTTCTGTTCTGTGTAACCATTTGCCAGTTATGTTTCTTGTAATGTTCAATCTATGCATAGTCAGAAAAGTATTTAATAGCTTTTATTAACCTACGACTTTTTTACATTAATCAATAGGAGGTTTAGGTTAGGATGATGACACGGCTTATTGTTTTTCCAAACAGAAGCCCCAATTCCGCAAACCCTTAGGCACGTGAGTAGCTTTTAGGCATGTGAGTAGTCCCCCTGCATTCAAAGAGACCACTTTTATGTGGAAAGTTACTCATGAGCCAGATAAACAAAAGGACTTCGGCATCCAACTGCCACATTAGGTGCCTAAATCGAACATTTAGATATCACTGTCTAAATCTTCGAAACCCATGCGTAGCTGCTGCTGAATCCTGGAAGTGCCTAAAATCCCTATAGGCCTAAGTTTTTGACAGTGGTCATATACACAGCTGCCTCAATCTAGGCACCTGGTTGCATATTTCACATATTAAGCACCAGCAGGATACTCAAACAGTGCATTCCCCCAGCTCTTTTGCCTGAAGGGCTTGATCCAGTAGATATCTCAGAGCACACCTAATACAGGGCAGAGATTTGAACTTGGGATTTCCACCCCTCAGGTGAATGCTCTAACCATTGGACTATGGGATAGTGAGGTGGAGCACTCACATTCATTCCTTTTGAAGCCACTGCACTATGTACAAATAATTAAATATGCATTGGACCAGAGAGAACTTGAGATTGATTCTATAGCCCACTGGTCAGGGCACTCATCTAAGATGTAGGAAACTGAAGTTCAAATCACAGCTCTACATTAGGCAGAAGGAGGAACTGAATCTGCGTGTCCCACATTCTAGCTCCAAGAGAGAGTTCACAGCTATGAATTCCAAGGAAAGATAGATGCCTGGACTTTGGACCCTAACTGTACTTCCTATTGGCTAACTTAGGGAGCAGGGAAAGTAGGCCAGTAGGTTAAGCCAATGGATAAAAGAGAGGCAAGCAAAGGTGAATTTGTTTATACAATCTGTAATAATTTTCTGTGATCAGTGTTGATTTTCTTCCAATAAAGGAAAATCAACACATCAGATAATTCTTCAAGGTATGGACTTATATTGACGTATAGAGAGTTATTCATTCAAGGGCAAATCTAGCCCCCTGCTCCATGGCCATCCACAGGTCCTCTGGAGTGTGACCATTGCAGATTTGTTTTGCAAGAGAAAGGAGAAGAGGCAGGTTGTGTGTATGTGTGGGACAGGAGGGCAGGTAAAGAGTGCATTCCCTCTGTATGAGGGAGCCTAGGTCCTGACTTCTCTTTGCATCAGTGTGTAGGAAGTAGGAGTTTAGTCCACCACATTAGTTGTAAAATATCTGCTGAGAAAACTAGAATAGCCTCTGTGAAGTGGCTCTGCAACTACTGCATGACCTGGAAAGGGGAGAGTTCCCCTGTCCACTGTATGCATCTGTCTAGCATTCAACATGTCTAAATGAGTCAGGCACTGGAGTCTAGATTTGGATCATAGGGCACTGCCACGTATTCCTTACGAATGCAAAACTGCTGTTGAGCTCTACCCCTTTTTCTAAATCCCATTAGTGTTAATATGATTTATTTATCAATTACTGAGATTACCACTAGGGCTACATTTGTAAAGAATGCCATGGAAGCTTTCAGTTAAGGCAACAACACTTTCATTTTCAAATTGGAATTTTAGGGCTGAATTCCATGCTTTTCTCCTAAGATTCCCAGCCCGGGGTGGAGAGCAAAGATGGCTTCATGCCATCATTGCACCCTTTGGATTCTGGCTGCTGCACTGGCCAGAACTAACCTTAGGCAGCCTCCCCAGGTTGCCTTTGGGCTTTGCAACAGCCCAGAATCTCTATAGCACTCCACACCTACTCCTGCCTCACACCCAGCATGCTCTCTATACAGGGATTTGTGATGGGGACCAGTTGGTCAGCTCAGTCTGTGCTGGACACATGATCCGTGTACACTACCACAGGGGTGGAAAGAAGCTGTATTGGGAACCATAATCAATTCCCCCTTTGTCTAGTGCAACTGATACTAGTAATAAGGGACTTGTGTGGCTCAATTGAACACAGACAGAATTTGCAAGTTCTCTGCACACAGGGTTCCTATTTGGATTTTCACAAAATACAGGGAGAGGTTTTTGTACTAGAAATTGCACTTTGATCAGTGCCTTCTTGGTCATTACAATACAATAAAATCTATAGCTACGGTCTCTCCAAATGCCTCACTGTTGTAATGAGAATATACATATCATAGGACTTTGGGACAGTAGATAATGGTGACAAAGGACAGGAGATACATGAATAGCAAAAGCGATAGTGTGGGAAAATGGTTGGGAGCTCGCTGTCCGCAGTATTTTGACCTCCATTTGGAGACTCTGTGAGGCAAAGAAGAATGGGTAGAAGGTTCTAGATATTGAGCATGGCAGGAACAAAAGTATAGTCTTCAACAGAGGAGAAAAAGGGGAATAGGACCTGAGACAAGGACAGAATTGACAGAGCACAGGGAAATGGGTAAGGAGAATGAGAGGGGCTGTGATCATGGTGGGCATTGAAGGTTATAAGAGTAATTTTGTGGTGGATGAGGAATCAGTGGAGATCTTTTGTGAAAGGAGTAATGTGATATGTTGGAGTGGGTGATGTGGCATGATGTAGCCAGGGCCGGCTCCAGGCAACAGCTTAGCAAGCAGGTGCTTGGGGCAGCCACTCCAGAGGGGGGCGGCACATCCAGCTATTCGGCTGCAATTTGGCAGAGGGTCCCTCACTCCTGCTCGGAGTGAAGGACCTCCCGCTGAAGTGCCGCAGATCGCAATCGCAGCTTTTTTGGGGGTGAGGGGGGGTGAGGGGCTGCTTGGGGCGGCAAAAACCATGGAGCCGGCCCTGGATGTAGCACTCTGCACAGCATGGAGTTGGGATATGAGCGATACTGGGAGGCCTGGAAGGGGGCGAGTTGCTCTAATTGAGCAACTATGAATGAGTGATTCAGCAGAATGAGTGCTAGGGCAGTGGCACATGTGTGAAGGTGCTAGTGAGTGGACTTGCTCTGTGACATGTGCAAAGGAGATCTTTCAGTTGAGGATACTCCAAGATTACAGAAAGAAGAGGAGGAGAAATGCAGAGGGATGCACATGGGCGAGAGCACTTCTTTTATCAAGTAGGAGGATGACTCTTAATGACCTGCTAAAGAAAACTGATTGATTCAGCTTTGAGTCTGAAGGGGAGCAAAGAATGATTTAAATATGAGACAGAGGGAGGAAAAGAAGGAAGGGAGTGAAGGTGAAACACAATGTCAAGAAGGGAGTGGAGAGGGAGACCCAGGTGCAGTAAAAGAAGAGGCGATGTAGGGAGAAGATACATTTGAATGAAACATCCAGATTTTGGGGGCTTAACTGAAACAAACAGAACTGCCTGCCGTTATTTGACTCCCCAGTATTTGAAGAGTTATAAAGAAATATTAACTTTATGATAAGAAGCAGAACAAAATGTGAAATATGGCTATTTCAGAGCTCCAGTGACAGTGCTCCTTTTAGGGTTCATTCCAGCAGAGACATTTAAACATTTACCTACTCCCTCTTCATGATCAGACTATGTTCTCAGCATATTACTTCACTATCTATCTATCTATCCATTTTCAGCCTGTGTAAGGTTAAGCAACTTTGCTGGATGAGCCCTTTGCCCCCAATTCAGCAAAGCATTTAAACACATGCTTACATTCATCCTTATTCAGGAAGCCACATAGAACTGGCTTGAATTTAACTTTGAGGTAGTTGTTGGGACTTAAGCACACATATAAAGTTAAGCACATGCATTAGTGCTTGCTGAATAGAGATTGAGTGCTGAAACAGGGCCTTAATAATGTGCCATTCATATATTTTAACAATGAACTGGGACAAAAAGCTGTTTGGGGATTTTGGGCCATATACCACTAAAGTCAATGAGAGTTTTGCTTGAGTGAGTACTATAGGATTGGGCCCTTTGAGTTCTTTAATGATTTTAATAAAATGATAGACCCTAATCATGCTCTCACTGAATTCAGCAGGTGTTCTGCCATTGATTGCAGTGGGGGCAGGATCAGGCCTCTACATGGACATCTTTATAGAATCAGAGAAATGTAGGGCTGAAAGGGACCTCCATAGATCATCTAGTCCAGCCCCCCGTGCTGAAGCAGGACCAAGTGTATCTAGACCATCCTTGACAGATGTTTGTCTTAAAAACCTCCAATGACAGGGACGGATAATGTTTATTATCTTTTGTAACCAGTAATATACTTTTGTTGAAATTACCTTCACATATAGCCTTGTTTGGGTTAATCTGTTCTTAATTTGTAATTCACTTTCAGAACCTGCAAAGCCAGAGGGTCTTAAAGCCTTCAATGTTTCATCACATTCCTTCTCGCTGAATTGGAGACTACCTTATGGACGTGTGGAAAGGTTTCATGTGGATCTTATTCCTGGTCATGGCTTTATTACTATCCTAGATCTTGGAGGTGGGGAGTATCGGGTATGTGTTTTTATTATAGTACTTGGATGGCCAACTTTTGTTTATGCAATGTGCTGATGGGAAAATTCTTTGCAGAACTGACCAACCATGAAGCTTGCTTCTTTTAGCTTTTTAACATAGATTAGAATACAAAAGTACTAATGCCAAATTTGTGAGAGGAAATTTCAACATCTGTGGTTTGTTACCTTAACAACGGTTATAATACTTTTTTTTTACATCTACTATAAACCTACAGCCAGTCATCCAAGAGTTCATGAATAGTTTAACAAAGGAAGGGCAGAGCTATTGAGTAATACAGGCTCATTAATTGTGTACTTGCCAAGAAGATCTAGCCTTAAATCATTAATGCAGGCAACATTTCCCTGTTAAGCCATCAAAAAGAAGTAGGAGCACGTTTTGATTCTACTGTTTGAAAAAATATTATAATAATAATGACGTTTCTGGTTCTTTTGCTTTTGTTTTTAATTGGAACTGCAGAGACACAGGTATTTTATATAAATACTTACTATTAAGGCGTGTGATGTTTATTTCAAAAGATAAGATGGATAGATGTTGGAAACTTGAAAATTTTTCAGGGATCTTTATAATATTTTTTATTTCTTCCCTCAGAAGAGCAGGACTTTCTAATGCTTCACATGCACTTAAATATTACCATGATGGTACCCTATGATAGACAATTTTTTTTTACAGAATTTTTTTTTACTGTTAATTTTGTTGTTTTTTTAATATTGTATGTTATTCAAGTCTTATGGTGGATAACTTAAATACAATTACAAAATGCTATATTGCAGCAAACATATGTGATGTAGTGTTTTTATTGCTGTAATGTGTATTATGTCATGTCACCTTATATCATGTTTAAAATTGTATTATCTGTTTGTACTTATCTTGGCAAAAGACTTATATGGATTAATTTGATATTTTAGGCTGATTTTTCTAGCGTTACTCCTGGAACAACATATAATGTGACAGTTTCTTCAGTTTCTTCTTCAGCATACAGTTCACCAGTCAGTAGAACAGTGACAACTAACGTAACCTGTGAGTTAATTATGAGTTAATTATGACTTATCACATTTTGCCCATTCCTGGTAAATAATTGCTTGATTTGCTGCTTAAAATAGGTACAATATTTCTTTATAGGTTACAGTCAGTAATGAGTTTGAACCCGGTAGTGCTATTTTTGCCTGAAAATATTAGACAGTTATTTGTTGTCTTTAAACCATCATCATGTATATCTGCTGAGTAGGCTAGAAGAAAATTGAAGTTCCTTTAAAAATAGTTTTTAAGGAGAATATGGTTGTGATTGAAAGTTTTATTAATCCTAATGGATAGTTATGGAAGTATTTGCTCTTATTTGTATATTATGTATTTTACACATTTCAAACTATACATATAGACATCTTCATTTGATATGATTTCTTTAAAAAAGTATACTAGTAGCAAATACATTTCCTAAAACAGTGGCACAGATTTCTATGTAGTTTTAGGTGAAGAATCCTGAAACTGAACAAGCTATAAAAATATCTCTTAAAACTGGCAAAATATCTGGCATCAAACGCTATTTTGTCTGTGAAGATTTTGAGCATTCCATTTTTTACATTCTTATAAAAGAATGTTCCTGGTGTTCCAAAAAAGCATTTAATCAGCTTTTGAAATACTGTTCTAGGGGGAAAAAAGCTTCATATTTACGAGCACATTAGTCTTTAGGCACTTCAGAAGTCTATGCTGAAAAATGCTTTTATTTGTATGCATTAACTGTGAAGATATATGAATTGTTATCTGATAATTTAGTTGAAGAATGTTCTTTTTGCAGATCCAGGACCCCCGGTGTTCCTTGCCGGTGAAAAAGTAGGATCTGCAGGAATTCTGCTCTCTTGGAATGTACCACCACATCCAAATGGGAGGATTATATCCTATATTGTTAAATATAAGGAGGTCTGCCCATGGATGCAAACAACTTATACCCAAGTAACAACAAAACCAGATAGTTTGGAAGTTCTTCTCACCAATCTTAACCCTGGAACAACTTATGAAATTAAGGTAACAATATTAATGACATAGCTTTTGTACTTTGAATTCTGGGTGTATTATACAATATCTGAGATTAAAGTAAAAGAATATGGAACTATTTTAGGCACATATAGTACTCTCCAAACCAGCCTACTAATTACTTGTTAAGTTGTGTAGTAAAACACACTGTCCAGTTCTTTTTATTTACCACAGTACTTCTCTTTAATTACAACAACCGTTAAAATAATTATCATCTCAAAGTGCACTAAAATGTGATTTCTTCTTTTAACATCCTGTTTGACATAACATATTATGTGGATCAGTAACTCAGAGGTAAATTTTCAAAAGTATCTAAGTGACTTGGGAGAAGAGCTGTGTGAAGGACAGAAATTCTGTTTTGTAAGGATTTTGAGGTTTAAAAATCTGGCTTTGTTCTGAATCAGAACAACCCACAAAACTTCTGAAGTCTCTACAGAGGAAAATTAAAAATAGAAATTGTTTTGGGTTGATGAAAATGTTTTGTTTTGACAAAAATCAAAACATATACTTTCCATTTTTACGTTAAAAAATTTATTATGATAAATATAGAATGTACATAATAGAAAATAAAATATTTCAAAATGAAAAATTGAAATGCTTCCTTCTGAAAATGTTGTAATGTGACATTGTTGGCGCTTGATTTTTTCCGGTTGTCTTTCAAAACAATATTCTGGCAAAACTGACCTGATGGAATATGGCTCTGTCAAAATTTCTCTGACAGAGAGAAGTCCCATTTTCAATAGTGACTTAGGCACTGAATTTCACTGGGACTCAGGCTCCTAAGTCAGTTGGGTTCTTTTGAAAACTTTACCCCAATTTCTTTCAGCCATAATGATTTACTTTGTGATATATTCCAAAATGGAAGTTAACTTCATTACTCTTCTATTTCCTTGTTGTTAAAATTGTGTGCTTGCTTTCTGGATTTGTGCTGATAATCAACAAATGCATTTCCATAGGTACAGTATAAGCGGGCTGAGTATATTGAGATCAGGCATTCTTTTGATTTTGATATATGTTTTCAAAAAATCTTCTTTAACATCTGAAAAATGAATGACTAAATGTGAAATGGCCTGAAATTATATACAATTCCCTTGCCAACATTTGTGGCAAGAGGAAAATGCTCATTTTTGTGAGGACCTAGATCTTTTGTGGATCTTCCTACAGTGGGGTGCTCCCCAGGTAGACCTGTTCGGCACTGCCCAAGATCGACAGTGTCCTCGATTCTGCTCCAGAGCGGGAGATGGCGACGGGGCGCTATCGGATGCATTCCTGCTCCCATGGTCGGAGCCCCTGTTGTACGCCTTCCCGCCCTTCCCCTTAATAGACAGGGTCCTACAGAAGGTGAAGTCAGACGGGGCGAGGATTATCCTCATAGCCCCGGATTGGGCCCATCAGCATTGGTACGGGTCCCTGCTGCAACTCTTAGCGGCCCCTCCTCACAGGCTGCCGCTACGCCCGGACCTCCTCTCCCAGGAGGAAGGTCATCTCCTCCATCCCAACCTAGCCGCGCTCCATCTGACAGCGTGGCTGCTTCGTGGTTAAATGAGCAAGAGGGGAGGTGTTCTGAGGCCAGGGCCAGCTCCAGGCGCCAGCTTAACAAGCAGGTGCTTGGGGTGGCCAAGGGAGAGGGGCGGCACCTGCGGCAATTCGGGGGCGGCAGGTCTCTCACTCCCTCTAGGAGCGAAGGACCTGCCGCTGAACTGCCGCTGCCGATCGCGGCTTTTTTTTTTTTTCCCCAATTGCCGCTGCCGATCGCGATCGTGGCTTTTTTTTTGCTTGGGGTGGCAGAAATGCTGGAGCCAACCCTGTCTGAGGATGTAAGAAGGGTCCTGCTGGAAAGTAGGAAACCCTCCACACGACGGACCTACCTGGCTAAGTGGTATAGGTTCTCTATGTGGTCAAGGGATAGAAGTTCCTCTCCCTCTTCCGCACCTATCCAGCTTGTCCTCAATTACCTCCTGTCCCTTAGGACTCAAGGCCTGGCGCCCTCCTTCATCAGGGTGCACCTGGCAGCCATTTCGGCTTTCCACCCCCTGGTGCAGGGCCTGTCGGTATTCTCGCATCACATGACGGCCCGGTTTCTGAAAGGATTAGATCGGGCATTCCCTTATGCCAGGCCCCTGGTCCTACTCTGGGACCTGAACCTGGTGCTCTCCTGCCTTACAGGGCCTCCCTTTGAGCCTTTAGCCACGTGCTTGTGGTCCCACCTGTCGTGGAAGGTGGCATTCCTAGTGGCTATCACCTCAGCCCGCTGGGTCTCGGAGCTCAGGGCTCTGACTTCTGAACCGCCGTATATGGTTTTCCATAAGGATAAGGTTCAACTCCACTCTCACCCTGCTTTTTGCTGAAGGTAGTCTCAGCTTTTCACATGGATCAGGATATTTTCCTTCCAATCCTCTATCCTAAGCCGCATTCCTTTAATGAGGAACGCCGCCTGCACATGTTAGATGTGCGCAGAGCACTGGCCTTTTACTTAGACAGAACCAGGCCATTTAGGAAGTCCCCCCAGCTTTTTATTGCTTCAGCCGAGCGCATGAGGGGACGACCGGTGTCCACCCAGCGGATCTCCCGCTGGATCACCTCATGCATTCGCACCTGTTACGAACTGGCAGGGGTTCCCCCGCTTCCTATTGTGAAGGCCCATTCGACGAGAGCCCAGGCCTTGTCAGCGGCCTATGTGGCTCATGTCCCCATTCAGGACATCTGTAGGGCTGCTACATGGTCCTCTGTCCACACTTTTTCATCGCACTATGCGATCGTCTCCCAAGCAAGGGATGACGCCGGGTCTGGTAGGGCGGTGCTCCGCCCGGGTAGCCCTTAAATCTTTACACTTAAACTCCTACCTGCCTCAATCAGGGATAGCTTGGAGTCACCTATAGTGGAATACACATGAGCAATCACTCGAAGAAGAAAGGACAGTTACCTGTTCCATAACTGGCATTCTTTGAGATGTGTTGCTCAGGTGTATTCCACGTCCCACTCTCCTTCCCCTCTGTCGGAGTTGTCTGGCAAGAAGAAAATGAGGGTGAGGGGAGTATGCAGCCCCCTTTATGTCGGTGCCACTCCAGGGGTCGCAGCGGTGCTCCCCCTCTATGGATACTGCTAAGGGAAAAACTTCCGGCACTGGTGCACTTGGCGAGCACGCACACGTATAGTGGAATACATGAGCAACACATCTCGAAGAACGCCAGTTACAGAACAGGTAACTGTCTTTTATCATGGTATATGAGCAACCATCATTGTTGTATCTTGGTTCTGACAATGGCCAGTATTGGAAGGTGTAAAACAGTCATAATTGATAATTAGACAATAATATGCCTACAGGAAAGTTTCTTTCTGGAACTTCGTAGTTGTCATGTCTCAAAGCATAAGAATAAATAATATCCCTTATAAATTATCATCCTAACTAGTTTAACTAGGGATGATAACTATGTGATTCCTATAAAAGTCTAATCCTTTGATGCTCTTTTCTATAATATCTTGTGGCAGTGAGTTCCACACCTTAACTATGCATTGTGTATACATTTACTTGTACACAGTTTTTAATTTGTTGTCTTTCAAGTTAATTGGATGTTCCATTTTTCTTTTATAATAAAACAGAATATAGAGGTGTGCACAACTGACCTCTTTACTATTCAAAATGTTATATACTTCTGTCATAGCATCTCAGTTGTTTTCTCTCTAAACTAAAAAGTTCTAATCTTTTTACTCTCTCCTCATACGGAAGTATTTCCTTGCCTCTAATTATATTTAGTGTCCTTCCTGGACTCTTTTTATTTCTGCTATACCCTTTTTGACATGAGGTGACCAAAACTGAACACAGTATTTAAGGTGAGTACATACCATCCATTTATAGAACATCATTATATGTTCAGTACTGTTCTCTTTCCCTGTCTTAATATAGCCTATTGTATGCTCACCCACCCAGCTATCCAGAATGATGCCTAGATAATTTTCCTGAGTTGTTACAGTTAATCTAGAAACCATCAATGTATAAGAGCTGTTTGAATGGTCCTTTCCTCTGTGCACTACTGCACATTTACTCTCTGCCATTTCTTTGCCATAGCTTTGCCTAGCTCTTTCACATTTTTCTGACGTTCCTCACAAGTCTGTTTACTCATGACAAGTCTATAGAAATTTTTTCCTCTCTATCCTGGATGCTTCTTCCACAGACTTTACCATTCTGACCCCCTGCACTTTCGTGGGCATCCTCTTAGCACCCTTATAAAGACTGTCATGCATTATCCTCCGCCACACAAAGGGACACAATCTGCAGTATTGTCACCATGTATGCATACACACAAATACTCTGGCCCTCACTAAAGTGCTCTCTACCTCCATTTCTCCTTTCACACAGTTTGCCGTGGCCCTCACTAAAGTGCTCTCTACCTCCATTTCTCCTTTCACACAGTTTGCCACGCTCACCACTGCTGTGAAGATTTTAGGAGATGTTAAGTTGCCCTATTCATTACTTCTCTTAAATCCAGACAATAAGTCTTTATTTTTATCAAACTCTCTTGTTCTTTGTTCTCTGAAGGTGAAACTGACCCTTGTGCAGAGGACCAACACAAAGTCAATGCACCACTTAAGCCCCGTACATAAAAGACACTCTGTCAGTTATGATGCTTATTCCCCAAACTGTGCCATGATCTCAGCTCACCACACCTCCAGGGAGAGGTACCCTGCTATACTGTCATCCCTCACAATCAGGCATACATACTCTGCATCACTCTCACTTCTCCCCATGCTTTTGCCTTTCAGACATCCCAGACAATCACTCTGCCATGCTCTCACCAACCGAGGAGGGGGGCCTGCTATCCTGATGCTTCTGAAGTTGAGGAATTGGAGGGAGGGTGTCCTTTTCTCCCTTTCCTTCCAAACTAAGGAGGAGGAAAAGGAATGGGGGAAGAAGGCATGATTGTCTTCTCTCTGCATAGTTAAAGAGAGGAGTAGAATTCTTGCCAAGTGAGGATAGGTGCTATTACTGGGGTATTGGTAACCTGTGTAGAATCAGAGTTCATGGGGCCTGAGCTTGGTAAGTGCTAAGTGGTGTTGATTGCCCTAAATTCCTGTTTACTTCAGTATGAGTTGAGGGCACTTAACCCCTGTTAATTCTGAACTTTTGGCTTGGGATTTGTTGTGTGGAGACCAGGTGGCATTCCCCAACAGAAGTAGGTGTTATGGGCAAACTGAGCCTTCTTCAGGAATTTTGTCAGCTGGGTTAGAGATTTTTCATATTTGTTATAATAAAGTTGCAGTCTTGTCAGCCATTCAGATGGTGAGTCCATGCTGTTGCATGAGAATTGCTGGGAGATCCATATGCTTCTAAAGAGAAAATGTACATGAATGTGTAAAGAGCCTTTTTTGAGTGAATGTCATTGGTTGAGAATTATTGTATTTAATATTTATCCATTAAAAGTTTAGTGTAAATTAAACAATTGCAGCTGAAAAAAGGAAAATTCATTTGTATAATTGTAATTCAACATGTACAGCTTATACTATATATATGCATGACTACTGGCACTATATATTATGTGAATTCTCTAATGTGACTGTTTCGGTTTATTGTAGGTTGCTGCTGAGAACAGTGCTGGCATTGGAGTATTTAGTGATCCTTTTCTCTTTCAAACTGCAGAAAGTGGTAATTTCAGTAAAGCTTCCATCAATCCAATTTATTCTTATAAATCGTCGCTGAATTTTTCTTTTAAAGTAATAGAATAAAAAATTCTGATACATTTAGGAGCAAATCCTGATCCTTTCATTGTGGCTACAAAGGACCTCACGTGCAGTGGAAATGGTGCCATTTTGCCATGCATGGCGGAGGCAGGATTTAGGGTGCCCTGGTGCAGGCGGTCCCTGTTCATTATGTGCTGTGAATCCCAGCTCTGCAGGGGCTCCACACGTGTCTCTATGCAGATGGGGTGGAGGAAATCAAGGCAGGGATAGCTGATCAGATACTAAATAAACCCACCAACTATTGCCCACTGCAGTATGGGGGCACAAGAGCTACAGCAGAGTCAGGATCTTGCATAGCCCCCTTGCAGCAAGCCCAGCTTCTAACAAATATAATACACAGTATTTCTTACTGTGTTTGCCTCTTAATGCTGACACCAAAAGCTCAATTATAATGCATCCTGAAATTAGAATCTGATTGAGAACATCTGACGTTTTACTGATTTTTCATAACATTCTAAGTCTATGATTGTTATTAATTTATATTATGGGGTCCTTATCCTACAAACACTCTGGTAGAAATTCATCTCTGTGCCGAGAGCTAGCACAAGGCTCATTTTGAGAGCTTAGGTGCAATTTAAGTGGTGATACGGCTTTTGCTAGTCCTTTGCAAAGGGTGAATTTCACACCCTGTGCATGGAATTCCCATTAATTTCAGCAGGAGTTTTCTGCAGACTGAGTGCTGATCACCCCAGCACCCACTGAAGTCAGTGCAAGGTGCTCAGCACTTTGTGGTTTCAGATTCTTAAGGACGGAACTTTTAAATCTTCTGAGATAATTTATCATTTAGGAAAACCCCCATAAATGAGAACTTTCTAAATGGAGCTGTACGAAACTGCTACTTTTCCTTTTGCAAATAATTGTATGCAAACATAATATTGTAATGAGCATAGTGTATTTAAGTTTAACAAAGGGCAAAGATACACCATTTTGCCCTATAAAGGCGTTACTGCTTCTCAGAAATTGTTTGCAAAACTCTACTTACATGTGATTCATTTAAAATAGAAATCCTCAGTAGAGTTCTAGCTGAAATGATGAAGAAAAGAAAACTTTTTATCAAGCAACTGCATTTGTAATTTTGGTTCTCTTTTTAAGTATCACAGCTATGAGAGTTAAAAAACCAACATCATCATTGCCACCACCAAGTGGATAATAAACTTGTTATATTTTTATACCTAAAATATGAAAGTTTATTTTGGATATAAATTGTTTGAATAGTTAAAGACTTGCTGTTGCAAGTTTTTGATTCATGAATAATAATCACAACAGGAGCCATTGTCTGGAAAGGAGTAGTAAGGAGAGGTACAAAGAAAATCCAGAAATAAAGCCCCTATTTAACAAAGCACTTAAGCAGGAGGCTTGGAGGACCTGTCTCTTATTAGTTATGGGAGATTTTCTATAATGTTGAACATGAATATATTTATTTAAATCAACTCATTTTTCAACACAATATAGCAATATTTTTAGTTTATGCAATCTGGGTCTGAACCTTAAGTATGGCATTTCAGATAGTCCTCTGTACTTCTAAATGTTTACTTGACTTACTCAAGAACTTGAACCTTTTGAGGTCCTATATTCCATTTCCTTATAGTGCGAACTGATTTGCTGACCCAACGAACACATCAAACTGTTACTGATACAAAGAACATAATTTCTTGGTCACACACCATCATGTATTGGGAAATGATTAATCAAACAAATACAGTAAATATAGTATAAATTCAAATATTAAGGGAACAGTTTTTAATTTACCAAAATGTTGAGGTTTCCCAATCAGTATTTTTCATTATTATTCTCTGAAGTAGAATGGTTCAATTTACTAGTTTGGATTAATCTATTTTAAAATTTAAATTAAAAGTAATTTTATAAGGCTAATTCATCAGGAGGGACAAAATCACACTTTTAAAGACTACTTTCTGCCTCAGAGCACTGATTTGCCGTTTGACTGGTTATATGCACACTTACCCACCCCCCCAAAAGAGACACATCAGCTTGCCAGATCTCAGTTGCAATAGCAATTGCTGGATTTGTTTTTTTCAGCAAAACAGTTTTTCAATTAGAAAATGCTGATTCATCAAAGTCAAACCCGAATGAATAAATAAAGATCTCCTATAACTGGAAGGGACCTTGACAGGTCATTGAGTCCAGCCCCCTACCTTCACTAGCAGGACCAAGTACTGTTTTTGCCACAGATCCCTAAGTGGACCCCTCAAGGATTGAACTTACAACACTGGATTTAGCAGGCTAATGCTCAAACCACTGTGAAAGTGGCAGTTTCAATATAACTTTTGTTGGGAATGTTTTGTGCTTAGGGCACTCACCTAAGATACAAGAGCGCTGGGAGAACCAATTCAAGTCTATGCTCTGCCTGATCCAGAAAAGAGAGTTGACCTCAGTTCTCCCACACCCTGGGGAAGGGCCAGAACCAATAGGTTATTCTATTGTCAAGCTCTCCTGTTGGAGCTGTTCCACTTTGTATAAATAATTATTCATTGGGAGGGAGGGAGCCCAGGTTTCCCAGATTTCAGGTGAGTGACCTAACCACTGGACAACAGAGTCAGTCTCAGTGTGGCCCAAAGAATGTTGAATTATTTATACAAAGTGGAACAGCTCCAGTAGGAGAGATTGAGAAAGGGAGACTGACTCTGTTGCCTGGTGTAAAGCTTTATCATTTGAAAGCTAGAAATAGAGACAGTATGATAGTATCTCTTTTCAGTCCTTTGAGATTCATTGGACTGGAAGAATCTTTTAGGTTATGTCTACAGAGTGAGTGGCAGCGAATCCCAGAGCCTGGATTAGCAAACTCAGGCTTGTGGTACGGTACTAAAAATAACTGTGTCAACATAGTGGTTTGGGCTGGAGCTCAGGCTCGGAAACCTAGGGAAGGAAGGGGGGGGGGGGCGGTTTCAGAGTCTGAGCTCCAGACCAAGCTGCAACATGCACACAGCTCTTTTTAGCACCATAGCGCAAGCCCCACAAGCCCAACTCTTTTATGTAGATGTACCCCTAGAGGGACAGAGGAAATATATTCAATATTTTGCTAACAGGGACGATCCTTCCTTAATAGCCAATGACAAAAGTGTTTTTATGAGAGCACTAGTACAAATTTATATTTTAAAAAGAAAAATAACCAACCACCATACTTGGAGAGAGCAATACAACTTTTAAAATTTGAAAATTGCCTCGGAGATACCATGGTGATGAATGATTTTAATGCTTGGAAACAAGAAATAGAGAAAGCAGCCATAATGCAGGAATCAGGAAGAAAGAGGAAGAAAGAAGGATTATTTGAATTTTGAAAGTCATTTCAGATTTGAAATGTTAATTCTGAAATACACATACTGCTACAAAGAATTGTATGCATTACTGATTTTGTTTTGTTTCTTAGCTCCAGGTAAAGTGGTGAATCTCACAGTTGAGGCGTTAAATTATTCAGCTGTAAATCTGATCTGGTTTCTGCCTCAGCAACCAAATGGAAAGATAACCAGTTTCAAGATTAGTGTGAAACATGCAAGAAGTGGAATTGTAGTGAAAGATGTTTCTGTTAAAGTGGAGGACATTCTATCCGGGAGGCTACCAGAATGTAATGTAAGTGTTAAAAACAATTTAATTAGAGATGGACTCAAGGGATGAAATGTGGTGCCACATTTGTATTTTGAACACCCCCAAAATCTGGGAGCCTGCGGGATATGTTTCAGGTCCATTTCTAATTTTATAATTTGGTTGTAGGTCTCGGTTCTACAAACTGATGTACTGGGTACAGACAGATCTTTATGTCTGAGCTAGAGCTGGTCAAATTTTTTCTGACAGAACAGTTTTCCAGTGAAAAATGCAGTTTAGTCAAAATTAAAATGGTTCACAGAAACTTGTTGATTCTGATGAAATCTTTGATATAAAAATATTGAAATTGTTTGGATTCTCATTTTGTTTAGATGTTTAAAAGTTTAATTTTGACTTTATTATTAATAATAATAAATTAATAATATTATTAATAATAAAGTCAAAATTAAACTTTTAAACATTATCTAAACAAAATGAGAATCTAAACAATTTCAATATTCATTTCATTTCAACATATATATATAAAATGATTAATCATTACTGAAACATACATATATAAGTTGGAACGAAATGATAAAGTCAAAATGCATTTTTTGACATTATTGAAATGTTTCTAAATTTCCAAATTGAAATCTTTTGGATTTTCAGTTACACAAAAATTTTAAGTTTCAAACTTTTTGTTTTGATTTGGAATGAAAACATGTCTAAATTTTAGAATTTTTGGTGGGTCACAAATTCCATTTTCCAATAAAGCTCTAGTCTGAGTAGAGTCCCTTTGACTTCAAGGACTCCACATGGCCTGAATTGGAATTTGCCTAGGATGCTGGAATAATACCTTGATCTTGTGAGAAGTGCCATTTATAATGACTCCAAATTGTCAGGACCTTCGGTTCATATTTTATCTGAATGAGGATTTCCAGCATTACAGAGCCTCCTAACATCAAAATGAATTAGTTTGGTACCAATTCAGAAGGAAGAGTGCCACCTACTAAATTACTAGCACCATTTATTGCAGCATCTAGGTTTTTCTTGGCATTCTCTTATATAGCTGCTGATCAGGTTCAACCTTTTCTAGCCAGGTCAGCTCTATTTGGATTTAGAGTATAGTAGAACATTGCTAATTTGTGCCAATTACTGGGAGACTCTGGAACAGAATGTTTGAATACTGGAAACCAAATCTGGCAATGTTTCATCAACACCAGAGTTTTGGTTCTATTCAGCCATATTTGATACTGTTAGTATTTGTTAATTTGTGATGTAGAATCAGGCCTGAAGGAGTGGAATGAGCTGCATCCCCTGCACTGTTAATGATGCCATCAGGAGGAAGACGATAACAACCTGCATTTACATAGTGAGAAGTGAAAGAAAAACTAATTTTCAACTATTTTGTTTTAAAGATGCGGTGTTTATAATTTTTGTGTCTACACATTGACCATTGTTGATCCGGCATGACAGTTTTTAAATTTAGTTTATTTTTATCAGCTTTTTCAGATTACTTTTTTGGTGTTGTGAGAATCAAATTTATTTGAGCTTTCTCTAGTTACCAGCCTTTTTGCGTTCAATTCTTCTCTTGAATGCATGCCGAAGGCTTTCATTGATTTTTGGCCTTAGGGTTTGTAGGTAACTTTTATCCTACTAGTTAATATTTTTAAAAATCCACATTTTATAGCTATATAAAGAGGTATGATATTGCAAAGACTTATAGTTCAGCAGTGATTGATGCAAAATGGCTAAGTAATAGGTTTAGCTTTTCATGGTTCATATTTTATCTTTCTAGGAAAACAGTGAATCATTTTTGTGGAGTACTACCACCCCTTCAACTACTTTTGGCAAATCTACATTTCCTTCACGGGCTATGTTTACACCAAGTACAGTAGCACCTAGTCAAATGAGCTCTGTCTGGAATGAACCTATTAGTTTTGTTGTGACTCATCTTAGACCATACACCACTTATCTTTTTGAAGTCTCTGCCGTTACCACTGAAGCAGGTTATATTGACAGCACAATTGTCAGGACACCAGAAGCAGGTATGTTTTGCTTTCCGAGAAAAAACTTTTAACTACAGAGAAAAATCAACATGTTAAACTCTGAGATTTATTTTAAAATATAAACCAAAGGGATTCCAGGTTATACTGCAGGATGCTTTAGACTGTGATTCTGTCTTCAGCTAGATCTCAGACTGTGTTTCAATACATACATTCTGTGTTTTATAATTCCTGGTATGCTTAATCAGTTGCACCAGATGAGATCAATTGAATGTGTACATACTGTATACAATATAATGTAGAAAAGAGTGGAGATGGGAGTTGAGTTTCTTTGGGAAATAGAGTAAAGCAAAGTATGATTATCTAAAAGAGAAGGGAAATACTGTAGGTTCTTAATTCTGTGAAAACCTGAGGATAGCACAAAGCACGACAGAAGTGGAATTCATGGCATGAAGCTATAGGAGAACTTGGAATAGGAAAAGGTGGGTAAAGATGGCAGACTTAGTATTTCAAAGGGTGGACAGTGTAGTAGTGTACATGGGTCTATGTGCTATAATGCTTGTTGCCAGGATGAAATACAACGTGTAAATAAGCTCATCTTAAGAAGTGGTAAAGAGCCATCAGTACCTGGGCCAAACCCTGCTTAGCATCCCTGGCAAAGGTCTCTCCCCACTACTACTGAGAGCTGGGTGGTAATTTGTCCTATTTTTCATCTGCATCACACTGAGTGCTGGGATTCCAACGAGGAGACTCAGCACCTCTGAGCAGGTGTTCAGCATGTCCCAGGTCAGGCCCAAAGCTCAAAATCTAATTCTTAATTCTCACTTACTTCTGCCACTACTTCTGCACTCCTGTAGTTCGGGAGTGTCCACAACTTCCCGCAGCCAGTCAATCATATTTCCCTGCAGCTATTGAGAAACAGTGTGGAAGAGAGAGAAACACCTTTCCCAATGTTCCCCTGTCAGGATCCATAGCTTGAAAGGCAGTCCTAGAGCCAGCCATTGAATCCCAGGACTCTCAATACATTGCAAGTGATCTGTCACCAGGGGGCCAGGGTTGGAAACCAAGATTGCCTAGACACCTGCTAACTGGCCCGTTGCCGAAGACTGTTCATCAGTTGGACAGTGCAGCAATCTTTTATCTAGCACCGTTTGGCAATTCTGGGCTCTTCTTTCCTATGTCAGAATTCGTAGTAATTTGCAAATGAAAAGAGGTCTGACTCTTTCCGAATATTGTATAGGATTGAGAGAGGATGGGGACAGGTGTTCTTAAGACGGGGGGCTTTTGGCTAAGAGTGCTAAACCCCATTTGGTTTTATAGCTCAGTGGTTTGAGCATTGGCCTGCTAAACCCAGGGTTGTGAGTTCAATCCTTGGGGGGTCATTTAGGGAGCTGGGGCAAAAATCTGTCTGGGGATTGGTCTTGCTTTGAGCAGGGGGTTGGACTAGATGACCTCCTGAGGTCCCTTCCAACCCTGATATTCTATATTTGAATGTTTTGTTACAGATAAAGAACCCTAAATATATAGTTCTGACTGGGATAAATAAAGTTCTGTGTAGTTCCCAGTCTAATTCAGGGCTTTCATCCAACTTTTTCTCTGAGGTTTTCAAACTGTTAATGTGCTAGGACAGGTGTATTGGCCGTAAGAAAATCCTTGGGAATGGAGCAAAGCTCAAGTAAAAGGGCTTTGCTCTGCAATAGAATACCAGGGGTGGAAGGACAGAATCCTCAGTCCCAGCTGATCCAGGATGTCTGTGCAACTTGGTTGAAGCTTTTACTGTAAGGTCTGGAGGAGGAACTAGCAGATGGCATTCTGCTCCCCTATGCAGAGTTTGGCCTAGTGGATCTCTGATGTGCACAGGTCCACTGACCACATCTAGGGCCAGCCCAAATTACTTAATCCTCATTTAGCTTCAGAGGCCCAGTGTGGCACACAAGTTGAGGATTCTTAGGACATAGGGTCTCTGTTGGTTTTACTCTCCTATACATCCTAAAATGCTGCTGTGGGGCCTTACATGCATGTGTAAGGCACGCCAGGATTTTGTTTCTAGGCTGAAGTGAATGCTGATTGTGGGTTTCCCCTGGGGACATTATAGATAAATGAACTACTTTTTTCCTCATGATTTTTCTTCTCTGATGTTTGATTTAGCTTTAATAGAAATTTTTACAAACATTTCAATTTTTTCTAAATACGAGAAAGCTAAAGCTTGTATTGAACTATGCAGATTATAGTGCAAATCCAATATTATAGCTTCAGTCTGGGTATTAGAAAACAATGTTTATACATGCAAGTGCCTGGATATACAGTTTATTTTTTTTAATGCAAGGGATTTTGGTTTAGGAGTGCTGCTTTGCATTGATTGCAAATAGTCTGGCCCTCTCATCCAGACATTGAAACCCTCCCCCACCCCACAACTGACTCATGGTTACCCTCCAAGTTGCCAGAACTTTTTCACATTCCCCAGCATCAAGCAATCTAATGCCACCTCCCTCAAGCTACTGAAATCCCCACCTCCTACTCCAGCACCTTGACCCTCCCACCTTCGCGCATGATGCCACCCAAACTATGGCCTGGTCCACACTAACGCCCCACTTCGAACTAAGGTACGCAAATTCAGCTACTTTAATAACGTAGCTGAATTCGAAGTACCTTAGTTCGAACTTACCGCGGGTCCAGATGCGGCAGGCAGGCTCCCCCATCGATGCCGCGTACTCCTGTCGCCGAGCTGGAGTACCGGCGTCGACGGCGAGCACTTCCGGGATCGATCCGGGATCGATTTATCGTGTCTAGACAAGCCGTGATAAATCGATCCCAGAAGATCGATTGCTTACTGCCGGACTCGGAGGTAAGTGTAGACCTACCCTACATGTCAACTGCCAAATTCTCCTGCTTTCTTTTAGGATCAAATGCTGAGTAGCTGGGGTAGGCTCTGCGGAGAAGTGTGGTTTGAGGGTGAGGAATTTGCAGCCTAAGTAGCTTCCTGTGCCATGCAGCAGGCTGGAGCGCTGTGAATCCTCTGGCTCTGCGTTCCCCTCTTTTTGTCATCCCTGCATGCCTCTTCTAAATCCTGCTCCCTCCCGACATGCTCTGTGAAACTACATTAATTTGCTGCCACAAGATCTCCTATGGCCACAGTGGCAAAGGTGACCACATGACTCTTAATGACAAGTACCCTGCCTTGGACCCATTCCCAGCTGCTGAAACCATTCAAGTCCCCTCCTAGTTGAATCATCCCAGCTCTGCTGAACCCCTTCCCCATCCTTTGCAGTGACAGGGCTCTTCTTGCTTACCATGCTATTTGAGAATCCATTTACTTTTTTTTCCCCTTTGCTGCTCATTTATGTGTTTAAAATTTTTGGACATGACTGTATTATAATTAAATATTATTACCAGATGTTTTGTGCAAAATCCAGCACTTGCATATTTTGTCATTGGGGATGGGATCAAGTGGAATCAAATAATAAATATTACTTCTATGAGTTATGTGACAGGATTTGGCCCTGGAAAAGAATTGCAGCTTCTCTTGATTCCTTGTAACCCTGACATTTAAGAATAATGTGTGAGTGTAGCTGATACCATTAGACTTGGCAAGATTACTTTATCATTCTTGGTTATCTTCACTGAGTAGCACCTAAGAAATTCCTCAGGATTGATAGGAGCTCTCTTTTCTTTCATTGGCAGCTGTTCTTATTTTGACAACTAGCTCGATAGGAGAGAGTTGTCTTTTTGTTTCTGTGATTGACATTGCTTTGAATAATACCATTTTTACCTCAGGTTTGTTCCGAAAAACGGAGGTGTTTGCTGAGCTGTGCACAAACAGCAAAATGGCTGGGATATTGTTATGGCAGTACATGAATAACATTGTTCATGTGCTGGTCTTTGCAGGATTGGCACTTTGGGCAGTATTGAAGGTCATCAAATTAGTTTTAGGAGACCTAGAGTATGAAAAGAGAGAGACTGCATACCTGTTGATCAAACTATCCATCACCATAGAATCTGAGTTCCTTTCACTGTAAAATCAATAGCAATTGTGAAATTCTTATTAGACTTGATGGAGTCTCTGATACTTCTCCCTTTTCAGGTTCAATTGCACATTCGTAGCTCTCTTGCAAGATAAGTTACCAACTACCCCCCCTTTAATTAAAAGGAAGTAAATTTAAATCAGAAAGAAAATTCCATATTAATATAAATCCTACTTTTCCAATTTACATGATGTTTTTAATGTCTTTTTCTGATCTTATTTTATATTTAATATGAATAATATGAATTAAATGATGCTTCTGGGAAACCCCAATATGAATTATATGTGTATACATTTTTTCCAATGTTGTTTTAGTTCCAGAAGATCCACCCCAGAATTTTGCCAAAGGCAACATTACCGGAAAGTCCTTCTCAGTGTCTTGGGACCCACCAAACATAATAACAGGAAAGTTTAGTTACAGAGTTGAGTTATATGGACCGTCTGGTAAGTCTGAATCAAACGTAGATTTTCTCTATCATTGTTAGGATAATTTTCTTTCAATAACTACATCACTAGCATTCTAAAAATGGATAGTTGAAAACAAATCTTTTCTTTTATGAAATTAGGCTTGGTAATAATTCTCTGATAACTTCTCAGTGAAAAGGATGTTTGTCATGGGGTTCACTCATTGCTAAGATGCCTCCTCATGGCTGTGTTTGGCGAATCAGCTCTTATCCAGTCTGACACCCCTTTCCTCACACAGTGGCCCCTCCTTGGTTGCCAGGACTCACAGTGCTCCCTCTTCATGACTCAGCCTCCAGCCAGGTCATTGTACAGTCCTCCTCTTCCAGGGTACCAAAGTCCTATTTCACTCATTTAGAGAGGCAGTATATTACACTGTCAATTAAATCAGAACTTGCAGGAGAACAAAACACAGATAAAGGAATGGATTTTAAGGGATAAGGCTAAAATTATTAACTTGAATGGGTTGTGAGATGAAGTGATTGGGGCCCCCACCCTCACTGAAAAATACCAGTCATTTATTTGGGTTCAGGGTAGTGGTAAATGACCTCCATGCTCCATAACCAATTTTTAGGGTTTGTTTCCTTCAGACTAATCTCTAGTATTTAGCCCTCCTCTGATCACTCTTGTCCTCCAACTCATGAGGGGGAATGAGGGTGCACATAAAGTCTGCAAAGAAATAAGGCTGCCTTTCTTCCTCAAGGATAATAGGGTCCAGAAGCCACCTCCCAGGTCTCTTACTCACGTGTACTTCTAGGACCTGGCACCCTGGAGCCTCTTACTACCATTGGCTACCTGTCTCAAGCTGGAACAAAGCTACAAACTCCACTTATTAAATTTGCATGTTTAAATCCTGTCTTTACTCTGTATTAACCTAAAACTGTGCGTCCAGGATACTGGCAATGGAGAAAAAAACTCACCAGACACCTTATCAATTCTAGCCCCAGGGAAAAAAATATTCCTAATCTCCAGAACTGCCACTTGATCAAACCCACACAGCATCTTCAGAACATGCTTCAAACTAGACCTCAGTTATAGGGCAGAGAGGGTGAGGCAGCAACCACAGAAGAGTAGCTGTTTGTGACTGAGTGCCACTGCTCCCATCATCTTTGCTTTACACAGACTGCTCAGAGGCCTTACTTTTTGTAGATACCACCATGCAGTTTATTTATAGTATTTCACTCACCACCTTTTAGGTACTAGTGCACTCATACCATTTACATTATCTAGCTTTACTACCCCTTCTCCAAAGCGGGGTGGGAGAAGAGGTTTCTCTTCCCAGAGAACACCCATTTGTCAGAGCCTACTAGCCTGCCTCCATCCCCTTTCTTTCTTTCTGTGCTCTTTTATCCAGTCTCCTTGTTAATGTGTTAATTAGCTCATTAGTTACCCAGCCCCAATCTGATCTGGTAATCAGGAACTTCTCTCCTTAATCGGGCCCTCCCCAGGGACCTAACTGGTTAAACAATGACCAGAGTGCTACTGGTTCAGGTGCTGATTCCCAGTACTTTGTCACAGAGCTGCCTGCCCATGATGGATTGATATACAGCGAGGGGGGCGCATGAGAGCCAGTCTGCTCTCTCCTCTCCCTACATCCTAGCCAATAGGCAGCACATGGAGGCAAATATCTCCTCTCTTGTTCCTGCTTCCCATCCAAGCATGATCACCACTTGTATTCTGGTCATGGGTAGGGAAGGTTCCAGAGCAGTTGAGCCTGACCCTCCCTTCCAAGGCCCCTATGGTTTGTCTTTCCCTTGCTAGTTCGATCAGATGTCCCACCATTGAGATGGAGATCGAGAGGGAGGGGGCGTTAGTGCAGAGTTCTTATATTGTTAAGCAGCATGGTGTGCCTTTTCCTCAGACAGTGCACTCAAAATTCACTCTGTTCCAATCAGTGATAAAGGTACAGGACTAAAAATTACTAACAAGTATATTGGCGTACCTAAGAAATTATCTGAAATTTTAAAAATAGGATTTGGCAAATAAGGGCCTTCTAGTGAGACCCATAGAGGCCAGTCTGCATATACCCATGCTGAATGTCAAAACTGATGCAATTACTCAGCTTGTACTTTATCCCCATTGAACTGAAATAAACAAAGCTATATATAACAGTCTCTGTGCCTGAAATTCACAGTTAGGCTTCAAATTTCTGTAGGTGTAGGCTGGGAAGGTATTTATCACATAGGCCCAAATATTGGTCTGGCCTTCTTGGCTGCACATGGGGAATTATGGGATCTAGGTCCCCCTCTCCCTTGCACAGGCTATGCTAGCATTAGGTCTTGCCTGACACTGAAGGGTGGGAGAGCTAGGAAAGGAAGGGGACTAGATGGAGTTTTGCCATGTGCCTCTAATGTACTGGCCATCTTATCTGTGCCAGAGCACCAGGTATTGACTTTGTACAGGGTATTTCCTCCCGGGAGCACGCAGGGCTGGCTCTACCATTTTTGCCGCCCCAAGCAACGAAAACAACTGCCCGAACTGCTGAAGAGCAAAAAAAAAAGCCACCTGTACTGTGCCACCCCAACAATGGACAGAATGCCGCCCCTTAGCATGTGCCGCCCCAGGCATGTGCTTCCTCTGCTGGTGCCTGGAGCCGGCTCTGGGAGCAGGAGAGAGACCAGGAGGCATATTGTGACAGAGCTACAATTAGGGTGACCAGATAGCAAATGTGAAAAATTGAAACAGGGGGCAAGGAGGTAATAAACACCTATATAAGAAAAAGCCCCAAAATTTGGGCCTATAAAATTTGGACATCTGCTCACCCTAGCTACAGTCTCCCTCCTGAGCAGCTCTAGGGGCAGCACACTAACATGTGCCTTACACTGGGAAGATCGTAAAGTGAAGATTTAGCCCTCTGTCTAAAAAGATGTATAGTACTAGTCAACATCTTAATGTCAGACATGACGGTTTTCATGCCTAATGATTTCCAATAACATTTGATGAAGTTGCTTGATTGTGAAATGCCTATCTACTACAAAAGTATTGGAAACCAATTCTCATTGTCCTCACATGTCATATATTCTTAATCAGGACATCAATAGTATTGCACAAGTTGGAATGAAAGGAATTACGGTCATCTGAGCATGACATTCAAAGGATTTTGTATTGTGTTATCGTTTTCCATCTACAGCTGTCACATGTCCTCAATATCATTCTGGACTTTTGGACTTTGATATTAAAGGCAATTAGAATTATCAGAGATGGGTAGATAGTGATAATCCAAAAGTTTGGTGATTTAATGAACCATTTTAAATATAGTCTAGTATCTGTAGTGAGTGGGGAAATCAACTAAGACACCTGAATACATATTGCACAAACATACATTATTTAAGAAACGATATTATTTTATCTTTATTTTAGTAGGAAACTCTTCAGTAACACAAGGGAATTGGATTATTGCCTTTTAAAATACTATTTTAATTTAGTATTTGAGCCACAATTTCTCACCAGAGAATGGAGAGCTCCCAGCATCTGTTATGAGAGAATCAGACAGCTCCAAAAGTGCCCCTTAGAAATGGTCTTCCCACTTGAACTTTTTGATATTTATCAGTGTTATTTGTGTAACAGAACCTGGGATCCATAGAACTAGTTCCAAGTTTAGAGCAATTCTTAGCGTAATATTCCAAATTCTTAACAGACCAGAAGAAAAGAGAGGTCTGTGTGAGCTGTACTTGACTTGAAGAAAGGGTTCTCCAGTCTGTGATACCTATATAATCAGTCACATTTTCTTTAAAGTTTATTACCCTTATAGAATCAGCTGTTATATTCAAATATTTCTATATTCTTCCTTCACTGTTCTTTTATTGCTCCACAATGAGGATATCTGGAGAGATGATGAGGCAGAATAGAATATTTCTTACCTATAACTATCCCTCCTGTGATTATTTTCTCCACCACTCCACACATATCTATAATGTGAACCTGGTTTTATATTTTTACTGATTTTTTTAGCTTAATCGTGGGTGGTTGTAGGGGTTCATGGTCGTCCCTCCCATCAGTCTTGGAGGGAGGCCACACCCCCTCATGACAGTATGTCTGTAAATGCAAAGCTCAATAGGGAATTAGCAGTCTCAGGGCTCTACCCCCCTGGGCAGAACAGAGTAATAAGTGGTCAAAGGGGCTCTGGCCCTCGGGCAAGGCAGAGCCATAAGTGGTCAATAGCCCAAAGAATCCTGGCTAGGGCAGACAGCAAGCAAACACAGGCTCTTTGGCCTAAGGTGGGCAGGCTGCCAACCCAGAGGTGGCATCAGCAGCAGGGAGTAGGGGGACCCAGGCCCACACTACTTCACCAGGTCCCAGCCCAGGGCCCTGACAGTGGTGGAGGACTCCACCACTGGGTCAGTGGGAATCCCACTGAAACACGCTGACCTGGACTCTGGCAACACAATCGGACTAATGTCTGGTGTCCTTGGGCTACTTACTACTACCCCTCCTGGTATACCTCCATCTCCTGGGGTTACTCCATCTTGGGGTACACTGCCAGTGGCAGTCCCAGTAGCTCCTCCAGGTACTGGACAGTCTGTAGTTCTGACACCTCCTTTGGGCCCTTGGTGCTGTAGAGCTCTATCGTGGGGGAAGAAATATCTTCTTCCTTCTCCAGCTCACACACAACTGAGCTCCAGGGCCTGCCTTTTAAACTTCCAGTCCCACCCCTCTGCTTCCAGCGGGGAACATAGCTTGCGTGGCTCCACCTACCAGAGGGTGGTTCGTGGCTTCTTCCCATCAGTCTCAGAGGGAGGCCACAAACCCTCACTACAGTGGTGTATATAGTTATACTAGGAGATACATAATTATAATTTTAAGACTAATTTTTAGAGCCCCCCCCAGTGAAGATTGTTGGAGAGATTAATTGTAGAAGAGAAATTAAAAGGAAAGAAATTTTCCATTCAGACTGGTTAAGAGGGTCTGCTCGTATTGCAATGATATATAAGTATTTTACCAGGAGCATGCAATATTACTTGTAATAAGTCATAGTTATCATAAGCGGATGGTAATTTCATTATTGTTAATAACTTCATTATTGGTTTTGTCTTTTTTCTTTCATTGTTATGGAAAATAACTATATTCAAAATGAAGAAATGTTCAATACTATTTGTATTAAACTGAAACTGTTTTCCCATTTCACTCTAGGTTATATTCTAGATAACAGCACAAAAGATCTCAAGTTCACATTTAGTAATCTAACACCATTTGCAACCTATGATGTGTATGTTGCTGCTGAGACAAGTGCCGGGATGGGGCCTAAATCTAATTTAACAGTTTTCACTCCTCCAGAAGGTAGGTAGGGTTATAGAAATAAAATAGACAAAGCTAATTGTCCTGCTATATATGATGATTGGTTTTAATTCTCCCTTCAAAGCCATTTGTGTAAATTGTGTATGAAAAATAGATGTGTTTCTAGTTCACTTCCTCTTCCAGATAGTGTATTATAAGCAAGAAGTCACAAATCAAAGAAAGGGAATACACAGAAAAGTTTTGTATGTTTAGCAAGCACATAAAATATTAAAAACACACCGTGACCACATTTATTTGAGTTCAGAAGCCTTCAAAGATTATGGGACTAATATGTTTTTGAATGAAAAAAAAAAAAAAGACATTACTTCTGTGCTGGGTAATTCAGTTAAAGGAACAACTCCATTATTTGGCCAGTAGATGGCAGCAAATAGTAGGGTAAGAGCATATTTCAGTAATTACATCAAATGTCACTCCACATGTACAGTTAATTATCTTTATAGTGATATTTTTCATATAGAACTCTTTTTAAAAAATACTGTTTTGTGAGTAGCTTGTGCTAACCTTGAAAAAGAAGAATGTGATCTATATGCATCATAATTGCACTACTTTCAACAAAATTAATTGTTTCTTTGTAAGGAGGTGATTAATACCCTTTAGTTAAAACATAAAAGCATATGTGTTTTAAAGGAAACCCCAAGAATACGTTTATATTTATTATAGTGAAATATCTCAGTATATAATAGGTTTGAAAATAGAACAGATGAAATGCTGCTCATGATAAGTACAGGAGACATCTAACAAAACTCAGCAGGTGTGAAAAGGCACATGTGCATTCTTCCCCCATCACCTTCCTTTTCCATCCTCCATCTTTCCCTTTCCCTGCCCATTTTTTTCTGTTCAAACCTGTGCAAGTTTTGTTCCTAGTTAAAACAAAACTAACAGACTTGTGAATTCCTTCCCCTAAATACTGCCTGCAGTGGCAACACCAATTTTCATGATGCTCTGACACTTTCAGATCTGCCTCCTGTGATTAGTGTTCCTCTTCAAAATCCAATTCTAGCTTCCTTTCTCAGTTATAAAATGATATGGATTGGATGAGTCCTTTGGTGGGTTAGTTAGTCTAGATTACCCAAACCGTGGACTGTGAATTACTAGTGAGCCACAAAACTCTTTCTTGTGTTCTGCGGAGTTTTGTATAGTTACATGTCGCTGATTCTCCCTCTCATTACCAGTGGAGAGAGTCAGAACAGGGTGCATATGGGAAGAGTGGGGGAGAGGGAGGGGGAGGGACGGAAAATGTAAAATAAAGGTAGACAGTTGAATTAATGGTTTTTTATTCAAAAAGGACACAATCTTTATCACACTAAACACAGCTAAAAATCATGAATAATTTCCAGTAAGAAATTGCTGTAGATGCCACAGTAATGTTATATGACTGTGAATGGGAGGAGAGATAGCTCATATCACAATTTATCTATTAAGATGCGCTTCACACTTATTACAAGGTTTGATACCATGTTCTCTGTCCTCTGGTCTGGTCACTGGTCCTCATTGACTAATGGAGTAGTTGATCCTGATTCTGTGTCATTACCTCCATGAGTCTCAGTTCTTTCAAACTTTTATTGAAGTTTGAGACATTTGCTGGAAAGTAGTGCCTACAGGCAGTGATGAGCTGCCAAAATCTTAACAACCGGTTCCCTCCTCACCCCACGAGGGAGTGGTGATTCGCGGGAAGCGGGGGGAGGGGGGGGGAGGAGAAGCAGGGCGGAGCGTTCAGGGGAGGAGGCGGAGGCAGAGCAGAGGTGAGCTGGGGCCGGGGCCGGGGCGGGGCGGGGCGGGGAGCTGCCGGAGGTTTATCGGTTGTTAAATTTAAAAGCCCTTTTAGAACCAGGTATCCCGCGGGACAGCCAGTTCTAAAAGGGCTTCTAAATTTAACAACCGGTTCCTGCTCACCACTGGCTCCAGCTCACCACTGGCTACAGGCCCTAGCATTGATCAGGTCTCTATCGTGCTAGGTGCTGTACAAACACATAGTAATAGATAATCCCTGTCCCAAAGAGCTTTCAGTCTTAGATTCCAACCCACTTGCTTCATGCTTAGCTTTGTATACTATAAGGAGTCCCATTGATTTCAATGTGACTACAAGGTTCAGGACCTAAATACACAAGACAGACAAAAGGTAGGAGGGGAAACAGTAAGAAGAAGTGAAGTGACTTGCCCACGTTCATATAGCAGGTCAGTGGCAGAGTCTGGAATAGAATTCAGATTTCCTGACTTCCAGACCAGTGTTTTCCTCCTGAACTGCATTCCCACTCTGACCCATATTCTTTTATTTTATTTATTTGTTAGATTTATTTTTTTAGTTGCTTCTGGGAAAAGTAGCAGGTGATGATAGTATTCCAATATTCAAATGTTGGTTTAAAAGCAATGGGTTATTCTAACTTATTTTCAGCAAGAAGAAGTGAGAAGTGAGTGTTATACCCCTCCAATTTGAACACTGGTTTATTTTGGTATTCATATTTGTGCTAGGCAACACAAATATTCTCAAGTGCGTCATAATATGACAGATTGATAATTTTGATCCTAAACCTACAAACCATCGCTTATGTGAGTAGTCCCATTTGTAGTTAAAGGACTACTCATGTGAATTAGGATTAGCAGTCCTTTTATCTATATTACTTTAGGATGAATGATTTTGTGCCTCAAATTCTATGAGAACCATTCTGTGGAATGTTAAGACACTGATGTGTGATGTTCATTATTTTGCATGTAAAGAGTCAAAAAGTTCTAGAGTTTAAGGCCAGAAGGGACCACCAGAGCATCTAGTCTGACCTCCTGTATCACAGGCCACCCACACCATTCAGCATCCACTCACTAAGCCCAACAACCGAAATTAGACTGAAATAGACAGGGAGACTAGACTGTTATGTGTCACCGGCAGAGAATACGAGGGACTGAGGTACCCCAGTGCCCAAGGCACCTGCAGTGGCAGGGAAAGGATTAAATGATATATACGTACACTGTAAGATCGTTATTAATACTAAAAGGCAAAATGGAAATAAAACTCATAAAAATGTGATACACAAAATGGGACCATCCTCAGTTATAATTTTCCAAATACTTTTTCATTTCATGCATTTATATATGTTTAATTTATTTACGCCTAAGTTTGTATAAGTTTGTTCAAACTGATGTAGATCAGCATAGATCCATTGACTTCCAGTGCAAATGACTTCAATTGGAATTGAGATATACTGATTTACTCCAGATGAGGATCTGGCCTTGTTCATACAGTCCTATTAAGATAGTGCATATCATATAACTATCTGTATGTTTTTAAGTTATGATTTAATCAGTGGGATACAATTTTCTTGAAGTAACTTGTTGATTGCACTGGAACAACTCAGTTCATAAACAGTTAAAATCTGAATAGATGCTTAGATTGCCTTTGTTCAGTGTGCTGAAAAAGTTGACAGTAACATTTAGAAATCAATTGGCAGTGTTCAATTAAATTCAGTATTGGCGATAACAACATTTAATTTAATGGTTTTTTGTTTGTTTTAGTTCCAAGTGCTGTATCTGATTTACAACTAGCAGAAGTAGAAGCCACTCTCATAAGAATTGCTTGGAGGAAACCAGAACAACCAAATGGAATCATTACTCAATATAGGGTTAAAGTGTTAGCTCAGGACACAGGAGTGACTGTGGAAAACACAATTCTCACAGGGAAAGTTAAGGTATTTCGGTTTTTATTTGGCTATTCAGTTTTGGTTACCTTGCTCATGTGATAGTTGGTGTGGCTTTATTTTAAATTACAAAATTAGTTACTATTGATTAATTTACAGTCCTTTCAGGCTGTCCCTTATTTCCTGTTCTATTTTTAATTGAGAGTTAAAGTTTCTAGTTTCACCTCACTTAGAGTATATCCACACTGCAATAAAAAGCCCATGGCATGGCCCTCGCTGGCTTGGGTCAGTTGACTCAGCCTCATGGGGCTTGGGCTCCAGATCTAAAAATTGCAGTTTGGGCTTGGGCTAGAGCCCAGGGTCTGAAACCATGTGATGGGGGGAGCTCAAGCTCCAGCCCAAGCTTGAATGTCTACACTGCAATTTTTAGCCCCACAGCCCAAACCCTGCCAGCCCGAGTCAATTGATCCAGGCTCTGAGACCTGGTACCTTGGATTTTTACTGCTTGAAAGCTTCCACGCATGTGTCACTAAAATGGTTTTGACTTTATAGTTGAGCAAATGTAGCAAAGCATAGGAGACAGACACTGCCTTTTTGCCAATAAAGATTTAAAGGCATTTTGCCACAATGTATCTGGTACCAGTAAATATTATGTGGATTTTTCCAGGTTAATTTGGAAAAGTATCTGTATTCCTATTAGCCAGTTTCTTAACCTCTGCTGGTCTAGATTCTTTCATCTGTACTCAAGTTGAATCCTGCCCTACTCTGAAATGAATGGACTGTTCACACAGTAAGGTATAACTGAACATGAATAAGAGTGGCAGAATCTGATTCTCTGTGTTTACTGATATTGGTCTAAACAAAGGCTTTTTTATGATTTGTCACAGAAAAGGGTACTTTTCAATAACATTTCCTTTGAATAGTGATTCTTAAATCATTTTTTTAATGTTTAGGAATACTGATTTTCAAGAAAAAGGATATTTTTCAAAATAAACATGTAACTCAGATAATTAGTTGGCATTATTATTAGTCTTATTATTCATTTATTTATGTATTTATGGTAGTGTCCTCTTCTCCAGCTGAGAATGGGATCCCATTGTGCTAGGCAGTATAGAAACATGTAATAAGAGAGAGATCTTGGTCTGGGAGATTTAGAAAGTTTTATTAGTCCCATTTTACAGATTAGAAACTGAGGCTCAGAAAAATTAAGTAGATCTGGTCAAAATTTCCTGATTTTTTTAATGAAACTTTGATTTGAAATTTTGATCTGAAATTTAAAATTTGAAAAAATATTCAGCTAGATTTTTATATAAAAAAAATGATTGGGGGTGTTCAATCAGCTACCGAGCTGGTCAGAATTTGTTTTTATTTTTGAAAAAAATCCACATAATTTTCAATAAATTTTAACCCAAAATCACAATTTTTTTACTAGCCTTTCAACAAGTTCTGCTATTAAGTGACTTGCACAAAGTCACATGGGAAGTCTGTGACAGAACCTTGAATTGAATCTAGATCTCCTGAATATTACTTCATATTTGATCCTGTGCCACTGACCCAATTAACTTTCCCTCCTCCCCATTTCTTATCCTTCTGCAGTCCAGTCAGTCTGTTCCTCCTTTTTCTCCGTGCCCAGCAGGCAGAGCATTGAGAATGCAAAATAGACAGTCTCCCTTCTCTCAATTTTAGTGCTACAGTGACCCCCTACAGCCCTGGGCAGGAGTATTCTTAGTGCAGATGAAATCTGTGCAGAATTTAGCTGCCAAACTCTAACAAGTCTACTAAGCAGAGAGATATTTAAAAGGCTTTTCACTTGACCAGATTTAGGTGAATTTTCCTAGATATTTCAAAAGGCACATTCAAAATAACACCCCTGCTAAGTTTCGAGACCTTGCTCCAAAGCTGGGGGACACTAGAACTTCTTAATGAAATGGTTGCAAGAATGTTGTTAACATGAGCAAAACAACATGTTTTCCTTTAATCCTGTTTCCAGAAGGTACTAAACAGTTTTAGTTGAAACTTAAAAAAACAAAATCAGCCTGAGTCAGATACCCAGCATTGAAGATTGCAGCTCAAATAGTTAAAGTTTCTCAAAGTTATAAGCAATTGAAAACAAGGTTTTATAACAGGAAGTGTCAGGCAACCTTAATTGTAGTTGTTGATACCAGCTCCACCTATAATGTATATTCATCTAATCTCGCTAGTATATATACATACTATTATATACTATTTATATGTAATACGTATCTATACGTATGTTTATGTGTGTGTGTGTGTGTGTGTATATATATGAGAAAAATGAGTTAACGGTAAGTATCATATTTGGTTTGTGATTTATTTGTTGTTGTATTTTTAATCTTTAGCATTCGATGGATTCTGTGGGTCCAGACATGTTAAATGAAAATATCCAATCTACTTTCACTTGGGATTCAGTAGAAACAGCCACTGGACTGTATGAAGGCTCAGCTGAGATGTTTCCCATGATACAAACAGTTTCTTCAGTAACATTTACTAGTCTATCTAGTGATAACTTGCCCACCATAAATGGAGCAGCAGAACTACATTCAGTTTCTGGTAAAATTCTAAAATATTTTTATACCTACCTCATTGTTCAAAAGGTCCCTGTCACTGTCACAAATATGATCTTTAGCACAGAGTTCAACCAAATTAGTACTGGGTCATTTTCTGGAGTCAATTTTTTTACTACCAAATAACCTTCTGAAGCAACTGTGAATGCCACACAGGCAGGAACTAGCCCCTTATCACCCAGCTGACCTTCTTCCTAGTGAAAGTAGCACACTAGAGCCATCAGCCAAGCTGCATAGACAATCAGTTATTACAGTTGCCAAAGCAGGTGTGATTGCAGGGGATTAACATATCTCCAAGCCCTTTACAGACCTTGATTTCCGTGATCCTTTTGACTAATAGCTTTTCAAATGTCACTGAAGGTAAATAGGTCAAAAAGTTACAACTCTGCTCTATGGGGTGGCAAACAGGTGGAGATGACCCCCCATGTCATGGTGATGTCATTAGTGTATACACTTGTTCTGCGTTATCAATGGAACATTGTTTCTTTACTAAGTATGGATATTTATGACCCATTAAACAAGACTTAGTTGACAGATACAGGCTTAAAATACCTCTCCAAATTTTTACAATGAGAGCTTTAAACAGCAGACAGAGGGCTAAATTCTGATTTTATTTATGCTCCATTAAAGTCCCTGCATCTGGTTTGCAGTGTTTTTTAGCGGTGTTGTCACAGGATATGAGAGACAAGGTGGATGAGGTAATATCTTTTATTGGACCAACATCTGTTGGCAAGAGAGACAAGCTTTCAAGCTTACATAGAGCCATTCTTCAGGTCTGCATCTGGTGTAATACAATATTCAAATATAAGTAATTTATTTTATCTTGAAAATATTTATCAGTTAGCTGCAGACAGGTTTTCAAAAGTGGCCACTGATTTTGGATGCTTCCATTTTTGGATACTAAACTCAAGAACCCTTGGCCTAATTTTCACATAGGCTGTCTCCACCCCTTCATGTGCATGTTCAGAACGCTGTAGTGTAATGACACCTCTATGGGGCACTGATTTTGACTAAGCTGGCTACTGAGTTTAGACTATACCCCTGATATCCTGAATAGTCTCCTGATTCAACCCTGGCCTTTTAGCTTTGTTTTATAGCAGTGTTTCCCAAACTTGGGACGCCGCATGTGTAGGGAAAGCCCCTGGTGGGCCGGGCTGGTTTGTTTACCTGCCCATCTGCCAGTTCGGCCGATCGCGGCTCCCACTGGCTGCGGTTCGCTGCTCCAGGCCAATGGGAGCTGCTGGAAGCGGTGGCCAGCACATCCCTTGGCCCACGCCACTTCCCGCAGCCCCCAGTGGGAGCCGCGATCGGACGGACCTGTGGACGGGGCAGGTAAACAAACCGGCTCGGCCTGCCAGGGCTTTCCCTACACAAGCGGCATCCCAAGTTTGGGAAACACAGTTTTATAGTATTGTCCCTGCTCATTCCCTCCTACCAAAACACCCACATGAAGGGATCTCCTTGAGAAGACCCAGGAGTAGATGCTCTTGAGATTGATCACATCATTTAGCTGGGGAGAAGGAAGAGGAAATTCCTCACTCTGTGGAAAAGAAAGCAAGGCCCACTCTATAGTTTAGTAGATTCCTGTGGGTCCTGGGAGGCTGGGGCCATCTACACAGAGGCCTTATACTTCCATATCAGCATTTCCCCCTGCCCCCTTCCCAAACTCCTTGGGGCCACAGACCTCAAGATCCACAGACTATAGGGGAGACAATCTGCATTCCCTGTCCTCAGTTATCCTGCTGACTGTTTAGCTTAGTCCACTGAGTGACAACCCAATCCCAAAGCCTGGACTTTGGACTGTGTGGAGAGGCCTCTACAGGGTCTAGGGAGTAAGGACAGATGTGAAAACATGGGGAGATCCATGCACAGAGTGTCCCCTCCATGTGTAAGTTATAGGCCATGATGTAGCCTATTATTTATATATTCTAATTGCCATGAAAGTGAGGTGGAAATGCCTACAATAAAATGTGTGTGCAAAAATATTATAGCTTCAGCTTAGACTTTGGAAAAATAATTTAATTTTACAAATGGATAACAAAGTTTTTTTCCTTTTAACCACAGATAACCAGTATGTCATCATTTCATCTGAACAGTTGTCATATACAGTAAAAGGACTTATACCTTTCACAGAATATACAATCAGTGTATCTGCTTTTACCATTATTGGAGAAGGGCCTCCAGCTGTTCTCACCGTTAGCACACGTGAACAAGGTAACATTGCATAACTTTGAAATAATTTCATGTAAGGGATTCCTCCTTCCACCCCAGTTTTTGCCATGATTTAATCTTTCCTTCACCCACGTTAACTCTTTTTTTTTTTAAAGTTCCAAGCTCAGTGCAAAATATTTATTATAAAAATATTAGCTCATCATCTGTTTTGCTGTATTGGGATCCTCCAGCAAATCCTAATGGAAAAATCACTCATTATACAATTTACGCAATGGAACTGGACACAAAGAGAGCATTTCACATGACAACTGCGAACAATAGCTTCCTTATAACAGGTATGGGATAGCTTTAGCATGAGGGGGTAGACTAGATGACCTGTTGAGGTCCCTTCCAGCCTTACATTTCTCTGATTCATAAAAATAGTTGCAACTGTGTTATACAAAATTTATCAAACTGACTATTTAGAAATGTAGGTAGTCCAGATCATTCCTCCCCAATCTTCATGTGGAAGGGAAGCATTTCTGCAACACTGTCCCCTCTCCCCTTGCAGAAGGTGGGGAAGGGACAATGAGGCTGGAGGAGAGGAGTGGGCAGGCTGGGGGAGAAGACCTATTGTACCCACCTCTGGGTTCATGGAAGTTATCTGAGAAAGGTAATAAACGCTAGGTCCAGGGGCTGGCATGGCTAGAAAGCTCCCTGGCAATATGGCTCCAATGGACTTGCTCTGCCTATAAACTGAGGAGGAGGATGGGGGCCAGAGCTGGTGCAGGGGCAGAGAGGGCCCCTGCATCAATGGCCCAAGCTTCTTGTGGATCCAGAGGACTCTGCAATTTTGGGGAGTGGCTTTTATATAGAGGGCGAAACCCACTATCCTGGCTCTTCAGGATGGTAGTTAGTAATTTTTGCAAGGGATTTCTAATGGGAATTTTCTCATAGAACATCCCCTCCTTGGCTTTTCACAAGGGAGGGGGTTAGTTTGGCTCAGTGTTTCTGTGCTGCTAGTTCTTTTTATGACTTTCACCTTTTTACACAGTATGTGTTAGAAATTTATCATCTTTTTCTACTTTAAAAAAATACCTTTTTGTATATTAATTGAAGAAAAGGCATCCCATTGTGAGTTTTCAGACACCTGTTTGTACTAACCAAAGTACTAAAATATATATAGATGCTCACACACACACTGGATTCCTAATGGATAAATTGTTAAAGCTATGTACAGAGACTAAGCTAATCAATTTCTGTTGAAGTCAATGGGAGTGATTAGTTGAAGCCCCAAACATAAATTTTATTTTAGATAGTGCGTTTTAGAATATCTCATTGTGGCTCTATTGGCTATTAATTGTTTTTTAAGTTACATAAATTCTTATATAGCTATGAAAACTATTTGAACATTGCCCCTTTTTATACTTAATATGTGAACTAAAAGGAAATAGGATGTTGAAGAAGAATCACAGGCTAGGATTTCTTTTCTTGCTCTTCTTAGGTCTGAAAAAGTATACAAATTATAAAATGAGAGTAGCAGCTTCCACCACAGTGGGAGAAAGTGCTCTGTCTGAAGAGAACGATATTTTTGTGAGAACACCTGAAGATGGTAAGTCTCTTGTTTGCAGTGATGCACAAACAAATGATAAAACATACACATTGAGATCTATTTCCAAAATTTGGAATCTTCTAAAAACCACTCAAACTAAGACTCTCCCACCACTCAGTGTTGCTTCCCTCGGCCAGTTTTGCAGGCCTGGGAGGAAAGAAATAAACTTCAGCAGTACCTGAAGGTCAGCAAATTTGGGTTCTGGTGCACCAACAGGGGAGCAGCTCCAGAACCTTCACTGAAAATGCCCTGTCTCCAGCTCCTTTCTAATTAACCCCGGGGTTATTAGCTTGGAAGATCCACAACTTCTGATCATGATGTGGAAGATAGGTGGCTTCTGAGGCATCCAGAACCTAAACCATTAAAAGCTTTTTATCTTAAAACCAGCATTGTAAATTTCACCCAGAAACAATTTGGAAACCACCTCAGATCATGGAACCTGGATGAATGTGCTGTCTACAAGTGGAGCTTCTTTATCCATTGAAATTGATCAGTAATTTTAGCATAAGATATAATATTGCAGGAACCACATGCACTGTTATATATCAGGTCAAGATTTTGTAGCTCTAGATGGTATCTGAGCACAGCCCCTCTCTCCACAGCATGCTCCTCTCAAAACCCTGCCCACCCAAGAGTTACTGCCGTTCCTAGAAGTATTAATTTCTTCTCAGAATTGGCACCCCCTTGAGAAATGGGTAGATTGTATGGACACAGGCGTCAATAGTAGCCTAGATCTTTAGGGAGTCCTTCTGCCAGAGGGGAAGGGGAGGACAAGTGGTAGCATGGATGGGCCAGCACACCACATAGTTTGTCTTTCTTTTCCACACAGATCCCGGAGAGGCATAGGATTTGGATCCTATCCCTCTGCAATCTGATCTCCCCTGAGGGGAACCTTGGTTGGAAACATAGGATAGGGAAAGCTGTGACAATTCCTAGGCCCTTTCTCACACACATTTACTCTCACTCTTGTGGGTTTTACCTTAAGTGAGTAAGATATGGCTCAGTATCAATCTTACCTATTTAATTCCATATGGAAACTGGAATAGTAATTTTGTGTGGCCACATCTCAAGAGTGCTTCACAATAATGGTGAACATAAAATGAAGTAACTTAGTTGGATTTTTACCAGCCACAGTAAAAGAGATGCTCTTTTAAAAATACACCAAGGATAGGGGTGTGATATCCAGCTCAAATAAACATACTCAGACTAGCTCTCATTGAGCTAGCACATTAAAAATATTAGTGTAATGATGGTGGCATGGGCAGCCCAGGGGCAGCACTGGATAGCAGCCTGGAGTACATACTCATGGGGTCTGGGTGGGTTTGTACTAGTGAGTTTGTGCCGCCACTGCTCGTGCTACTGCTAGCTTGCGTGAGTATATCTACTCAAGCTGGGAATCCCACCCCTAGCTCCATGTGTAGATGTAGCCTAATAGACAAAGCCATCAATCACACTGATCAGATTAGAGCTTTATTGAACCCTTTGTGCCTTTTAGCCCCAGCGTTGAGGTAGTGCAGAGCTGTACCACTCCAGAGGGATCACAGGGAGGCATTCTGAGCCTCCCTGAGGTAAAAAGTATTTTGAAACTTCCTGATGTGCAGGGAGCGTACACCCTGTGTACAGCCCCTTAGGAGTACACTCTCCTCCCCTCAGTGGACAGTCAGATCCACTGGTTGATATGAAGAGGATCAGGGCCATAGATCTGCTTAGTCCTCCACTCCTGTGAGATGGCTTTCTTTAGGCACTCATATACCACAATGAGGAGTATTGGGTAAATGCCTGGGTAGATTGAATCCTAGGGGACACTAGCAGAAGCTGTCACTGACCCCTACACCAAGAGCACAACGAACATAGAAAGGTTTGGTCCTACGAGAGGGCCAGCCATAATTTGGCCACTATGGATATGTCTACACTGCAATTAGAGACCCTTGGCTAGTCTGGGCCAGCTGATTCAGGCTTCTGGGATTCAGAGTAAGGGGCTGCCTGATTGCAGAGTAGATGTTCAGGCTTGGACTGCAGCACAACTCTGGGACCCTCCCACCTCGCAGGGTCCTAGAGTCTGGGCCCTAGCCTGAGCCCAAACATCTACACCGCAGTTAAACAGCCCCTTAGCCCAAGCCCCATGAGCCCGAGTCAGCTGGCACAGGCCAGTGCAGGTTTTCAGTTGCAGTGAAGACATATCCTAAGACAGGGGTTCTCAAACTGGGGGTCAAGTCCCCTCAGGGGGTCATGAGAATATTACCTGGGAGGGTCACGAGCTGTCAGTCTTCACCCCCAAACCTGCTTTGCCTCCAGCATTTATAATGGTGTTAAATAGATAAACAAGTGTTTTTAATTTATTAGGGGTGTCGCACTCAGAGGCTTGCTATGTGAAAGGGGTCACCAGTACAAAAGTTTGAGAACCACTGCCCGAAGCAGTAGGATTGGTGGTACTGAGCATACAAACACAGTCGATCAAATTCATCCCGATGTAATTCATGAAGTCAGTGTTGTCAGTCCAGTGAGTCCTGCCATCCTGGTATGCGATGGAAGGGATTCCACCATATGATTCTGAAAGAATCTAGTCACTGGCTAGGAGACACAATAATTGTTGAAGGGGAAGCATGGGAACTGACTCAGAAACACAGCCCTGAAAAGGGAAAGAAATACGCTGTGACTAACTTCCATTTAGTTTACCTAATACAGCTGGTGATTGATGACCATGAAGATCTCTCTGTAAATCTTGTGTGCTGTGGTATGAAGGTCACACAGAAAGCAAGTCTAGCTATGGGGTAACTTAGTGGCTACATTTGCTTGCAGTGTCTGGACCTCTAACTGATGACCATGATGTAGTCACAAGGCGCTGTATATAAGTGGGCATAAGTGAGCATGCACTAAGGCACAAAATCAGCAGTAGATATAAACATCTTTACCATTGAAGAACCGCTGAAGTAGTTGTCACTACTAATATATGCAACATATAAAACTTAATAAGATATAATAAACACTATTGTGTTTTATTTCCCGAGCAGCAGAAAAATGGTGACAGTAAAGAATATTGTCACATTTATACATTTCTTTTGTCCCTTATTTCCTTTTCTAATTATTAGTGTTGGGCTTTGAGGTTTAGTTCATATAAATGTTCAGATATCTCAAAGCTTATCTTGAACCTTCTTGTCCTGGAGGTCTCACAGAGATTTCTAATGCTTTTTTATGAATTTCTGACTCAAGAGGTTCCAGTTGTAATAGGTGACCACTCTGGATCCCACAGCTGCCAGCATGAGTATTCCAATATACAGTAAGTCCCAGTTCTTGATTTCTCTGGCATGGAAAGATAATTAAAAGCAACAGCAAAATATCCTCAATTCTGAGAGAGATGTGGATTGATGAGGACCTATAAACTCAGGGCCGGCTCCAGGGTTTTGGCTGCCCTAAGGAGCCAAACAAAAAAAAAAAAAAAAAAAGACCACGATTGCGATCTGCGGCGGCAATTCGGTGGGAGGTCCTTCACTCCGAGCAGGAGTGAGGGACCATCCGCCGAATTGCTGCTGAACAGCTGGACGTGCCGCCCCTCTCCGAAGTGGCCGCCCCACGCACCTGCTTGGTAAGCTGATGCCTGGAGCCGGCCCTGTATAAACTATATATTTATATTATATAGATTACTATCAGGAAATGGGAATTAAAGGTAATTTCCTATTCTCCAGTGGTACAGTATAGCTCACTGAAGCTAGTGGAATTAAACTGCTGTGAAACTGATGAAAATGAGAGAAGTATTAGACTAATGTCTATGGCCCTGAACCTGTAATTAGATCCACCAGGGCAGAGCATTACACCACATGAAATCCCACTAAAGTTGGTGGGACTCCACACAGGCACACATGAATATGGCTGCAGGATCATTGCACAAGTTACAACATTGCAAGAGAGATGACAACACACAAAGGGGGACTGGTTGGAGGACGGAGAACAAAAGTTACAGAGATGTAGGTCATGTGGTTGCTATATTTAGTAATGCATATCTTGGAATTTTTCATCGTTTAAAAACATTATTTACAACACTGTTCTTGTTTCTCTTTGTGGCAAAGTATGTTTTAAGGAGCGAGTTGAAGGAAAAGAGGAAGGTGAAGGGATTGTGGTCTGGCTCAGGAAGGAGGTTCTAGGCACAGGAGGCTGCATGGAAGAAGGCACAGAAACCCAAGTAGGAGAAGTCAAAGGGGATGACTGCAGAGGGTTGGGATGTTTAGAAAGAGGAGACTAGAGAAATACGCAGGAGCTGTGCACAGGTCTCTGAAGGCAAGGATAAGGAGTTTGACTTTGATGTGAAAGACAAGAGGAAGCCAATGAGGGGATTTGACAAAGAGTTGGACATAGAGAGGTAGGCAGGACAGATGATTTTTGCAACTGCATTTTTGATGGATTGGTGGATGAGGTGAGAGAAAGTCTAAAGAGACTGCAGTAGTTGAGTGCAAGATGATCAAGGTTTGCACAACAGTTTTACTGGTGGGAAAAGAAGGATTTCTGAGATATATGAGGGTGAAAAACTGATAGCATTTAGTGATAATGATTTGGAGGGGAGACCATATCATCACCTTTAGCTCTGGATATTGCTGTAGCTGCCTCTAGAAATGTCTAGATATTAGGAACATATACATTTATGGGAACATTTTGCTATTATATGATCAGTTAAAAAAATGCAAAGACCTTTTATTCTGTATTACAGAACCAGGCTCTCCACCCCAGAATGTAGAGGTATTAAATGTAACTGCAACAGGAATATACTTGAGATGGTCACCACCAGAGCAACCTAATGGGATCATAACTCATTATGAAGTTCTGTACAATTATGCCAATGACTTATTTATTAAAAATACCTCAGCTACAAGTATATTTTTAAATGGCATGAAACCATACACTCTCTACAACATTTCCATAAGGGCTTTCACTAGACTTGGCCACGGGAATCACTCATCATTTCCACTGTCTGTCAGAACTTCTGAAACTGGTGAGTATATTTCTTAAAAATACTATAAGTTGTTCACATTTGATAGCCTGTGGTGACATTTTATGCCAGTTCATTTTACTGTAATACACATTTTTATGCCAAATGCTTCACCTGTGCAAAGACTGAGTAGGGAGTGGGAAGGGGAGAAGAGAGTAATGAGAGCAGAGATGTAGAATGGGACCCGGTTATGTATTGTAGAGCTTTATACAATCCCTGCCTTTTACAAATTCTCCTGCCTTGCAAGAAAAATGTCATTTTTATAGAAAAGGAGGAATTTCAAAAGGCCAGGATTGTTGCTGAAGACAAAGAGCTTGAATTTAATGTGGTAATAGAAAAGAAACCAGTGAAAAAATTCAAAGACAGATGGTGGTGATGTGGTTGAAGCAGCGGGAGAATAAGTTGATGTTATTGAAATATTTTGGGAAAGGGAGAGGTAAAATGAAACTGGAGAGGGTTACAGTAGTTAAGATGAAAGTTGCTCAGGGCAGGGAAAAGGTATTTTAGCAGTGGGTACTGAGACAGAGGGTGGATTTTGGAGATACTAACAAGGAATCAACAGGATGTAGTGAAAGATTAGATATTAGGGGTGGGGTGGGAAGGGAGAAGGAAAGAGAAAAATCAAGTCTGAGAGACGGGCAGGGTAATGGAAATACCAATAGATATGGAGAAGAGAGATTAATAGATTAGATATCAAAGAGCAGATGTTGGAGAGGCAGCTAGAAATGCAGGAAATTATGGAGGTCAAGAGGGGCGTCTGGAGCAGAGCTGAGAAAAATCTGGTTTGATTTGAACTCAAACCATTTTTTGTATATTTTTTTGTAAGAGCAAAAAACTCAAAATGTTTTGGTTTCAAATTGACCAAAATGTTTCTGGTCAATTTGAAATAGTTTTTTCAGTTTTTCAGTTAGTTTTGAGTGAATCAAAACATTTTAGTCAACCCAAAACATTTTTTGTAGTTTTCTGTTTTGATTTGATTGTTACAAGTGTTTTAAACCCTTATTTTGGTGTTTTGTTTTTAAATTGGCCATATTTGAATTTGAAATGCCAATTCAAAACAAAAAGTCAAAACAAAACATTTCCAAATGGTTGAAATGAAACATTTTAACTTTCTAAATTTTTTTCCCTATTTGTTTTTTGGCTGAAACTATTCGTCAAATTCATGAATAGTTTTGGAGCACAAAAATACATTTTTTAAACAAAATAGCCCCTGATTTTTTTTTACTAGTTCTAGTCGGGAGTATAGAAGAGGAGTGATTTTGAATAATTGGTATATATGCGGTGGGTGAATGATTGGGAATAGATAAGTCACAGTGAAAGGGAGACATGGAGGAAGAGACTGCACAGATCTCTTAGAGATACAGAGGAACAGGAGGGTATGTGGGGAGCCAATAAATAAGAAATTAGTAATCTTGATAAGGGAAGTTGTATTGGAATGGGGAGGACAAAAGCCAAATTGGAAGGGATCATCTGAAGAAGGGGAAGTCAAGGCAATGAGAGTGAACAGCATGCTCTAGGATTTGGGAAATAAATAGGAGAAGGGAAATAGAATGGTAGCAACTGCAAGAGAAGGAAGTTAGACCATGGTGATGTATTTATCAAGATGGAGAAAGAGGAAACAAAGAAATGAAGTTAGTGGGAAATATAGGTACCCAGCAACTCTGAAAAGCAGGCCACTTTGATAGAGGTTCCTATGTGTGTATTTTGGAGTCTAACTTTATGCATTCAATTTGAAAATTTTGGCTTGTGTCCATTTGGGTAGGCAAAGATGACAATATGATGTCCTGAAAGTGAAACTACTTTGTGCTTACTTAGCTGAACGTTAGCTAATATAATCTGTCATTTGTTTTTAAAAGTCAGTAGGAACCTAGATACCAAAGTCTTAATGATGACATAAATCTGTAATAAATAACTGCCAAAGACCTTCTAGCTGGTCATTCCCTCCCTTACTAGTTACCACCATTTGTAGCTGAACACATTGCATCATACAGTGGATTTTACCTGATAAGGAATATGTTCAAGAAAGTATTGTACACTTAGCAACAGGCCTGAAAAACTTATACTTGAAGTGTATTATTAATAGGCATGTGTTAAAAAAAAATGTTGGAAACCTTCACCCATTCTTTAAACTAAACAAATTTATTTTAGGTTCAGATCATTCCTTATAACCTCAGGTCCTCCTTTCCCCTTCTCTTGGGGGTGCAGTGGATGCAGAACAATAGGTTTGAATCCAGAACTAGAAGAGAACCTGCGAAAACATTCATTATGAGATCTTCAGAGATGAGATGTATCACAGGGAAGGCAGGCATTTTCAGATTGAAAGTATGGAGGGAACTGGGACCTATTGAAGCATTGTTGTGTTTGAGAGATCCTTATTAAAATTCCACCACTAAACTAGGAGGATGTTTAGAATGATTTCCCAGCCTCTGATGAAATTCATCCGCTCTCTGGATACTGCTAAATCCTCCTAGCCAGAGGTGACTTATCTCAGGGGTTCATACAAATATATCTGAAGAGCAAAAGTTTTGTATTTTGAATGCAATGGGTTGCATCAAGTGGCAGGTATTTTCAAAATATTTCCTAGGGAGGATACCCAGAACTCCTGTAAAACCCATTTACCCCCTCTATCTTGTCAAACTGCACAAACTGAAAGCTGTGCAGTGATAACCAAACTTATATTATATTTGTATTTTGTTTCAGAAAATGATTATACAATGTTATCATGTGCTGGTGCCTCCCTCCCTGGTTCTGGGATCTGGGAAAACATGTTTTGTTTTTTTTAATGGGAAAACCAATTAAAAGATTGCCCAGTCCCTACCTCTTTGCAAGCATGTGGAGCAGCAAAGGCAAATGGAAAAAATGTTAGTGGAAACCATTTGTTAAAATATTGGCAGCACATCAATGAAGAGTTTCTTGAGAGAGAGCCAAGTTGGAAATTCATGGTGATAGCTACTAAGGTGTCAGGGAGGAAGCTCAGCATCACAGGGTGGGGGGAAGTGAGAAGGTCTTTAGTTCATTTGTCAAGAGGATTCCACCAATTTGTTAAAGGCTGTACATAAAAAACCTCATTATACAGATAATTGCATTATATATTATAGATACATTTTTCATGTCTCTTTGACCTTGCAGCTCAACTTGTAAAAATATTAAATGATTGCTTTTAGTAAAAAATGATCAAATATTTACAATATACTATATTTTTTATTGCTTAACTAATGAACAAAACTTTGACTTGACTCTTTTTTTAAGTCTGAATTTTCCTCTTTCAGTTCCTGATAGTGCACCAGAAAACATAACCTACAGGAACATCTCATCTACAGAAGTAGAGTTATCATTTTTTCCACCATCTGTTCCCAATGGGATTATACAGAAGTACACTGTATATCTCAGGAGGATTAATGGAACTGAGCTAAGAATCATAAACACTACTCTTCTGACGATAAGTATTACAGGTCAGTATGTAACAATCTGAAACTTGATAGTGTCCTGGTTGGTTGATGTTGTATAGTTCATGTTGACAAATTCCAGTCAGAAGGAAATATTTAATGCTTCTGGAAACTTAATGTTTACAACCTTGACTTTAATATGCCAATGTCATTAGATGGCACTTTTCAAAAAGATAGCCACCACTGACACTAAATTTAGTACTAATTGTGAATACTAAGACCTTGATCCTGAAAACACTCTCAGATTTAGTTTCACTGACTTCAGTGGGACTACTCAGATGTATAAAATTAAGCACATGTATAAGTATTTGTGGGATCAGGGTCTTAATTTTAACACTTCAGTTTTAAACACAATAATCCATTATATGGAACAAAATGATTTTTTAATTATATGAACATGCAGATTTCTATATTAAGAAAAACAGATGCCTTCACATTCCTGTAAAACTAGAAGATATTGAAATACTTCAGATTATGGCTAAAGTTGAGACTTAATTTCAGTTATAAATCTGATTTTGCGGATGTCCCAGTTTCTGAAATACTTTAAAAGGGTAATTTCCACTTAAAAGTTTACACACGTGAACTGTGTCCAGCAGAAAATTGGTCTCCAATCTTAGGTGTTATTGGACAAGACATTTTTATGCTGCGGGACTCAGAAAAAATCATTAAAAAATTCTTCTAAGACATATTTGGCACATCTAATATCAACCTTGAGGTCAGTGGAAGTTGTGAGATGCTCAGCACTTTTGCCTACTTATGTACTCAGAAGTGTTTTTTAACTTTTTTTTTTTAAATATTCACTAAAATCCCCCTCAGAATTTATAAAATAGTTTACTGCATTCTTCTTTCTTTAGGTTTAAAGAAATATACCAAATATACAGTTGAGGTGTCTGCAAGCACTAGCCAGGGTGAAGGGGTTCGTAGTGCACCTCTAAACATATTGACTAATGAAGATGGTAAGTCAGAAAAGAAATTACAATATATCATTGTCCACTTCTAGTGGACAAGTCTTAAACTTTGTTTCAGAGGTCTTTGTACATTTGATTTATATAGGCACTTTTCATTTAGATTTATCTTTATTCTTTAATACCTCTATTAGTATAAGTTTTATGTCAAATCACAAAAGTTCTGTATTTGGAAAGCAACACTGTTATTGTTCTTATATCTCATCAGTGTCTTACATTTTTAAGAACCCTTAATTTACTGTTACTATTTTAGTCTATTTACTATTTTACTGTTACAGAAGGGCAGCAGTAAGTCAGATGGAGGTTGTTTCTGCCTGGGTGTAAAAGTGGACGAATGGAGAAAGCACAGATCCCCGTTCCTTTTGCCTCCCAGGACGTGGACCTAGAGCAGTCATAGTTCTTGTGCTTAGAGTCTTTGGCTCTTCTAAATTGATGAATTTATAGTTATAGTTATTAGTATTGTGTTAGTGCTCAAAGGACCTAATCAGTGGCACTAGACACCCCAAATTGAGCATGGAGGGGTGAGTCAAAGATCGGGCCAGGGCACTGCCCTCCATACTAGCCAGCAGAGCTGGCCATACATTATCAGAGTGTATACTATACTTTATTTAATGATTTAACATCTACGCTCCCTCTCAATCCCATTAGACACAATTCCTCTGGGGGTTCCTGCTGTGGTGGTGCATTTCTGCAAAACTCCAAAAGTGGCCAGAGGCTCTCATCCACAACCCATACCATGTTACATTGCTCAATATAAATGTTGCTATAATACACCAAAAACAGTTCAATTATATAAATTTATGCCATTTGTTTAAAATGTTTTTTATTTAGAGCAAACATTCATTCTGTATTTTACTAAAGAGTTTGTTAGCTGAATAAGGAGATCTATGAGTTAAAGACAAATAATATCTTAGAATCAAGAAATGCCAGAGACATGTGAAATTCAGTATTTGATAGACCTTTTATTGTAGGGCTACCGAGGTTAATAATTTATTAAACACTAAATACAGCTGTCACTATTTATTACCAGTAAATACAGGCATTCACGGACTTTATTAAGCCTTTGTTCAGGCAAAATTAAGATTTCTTCCAAAATGTACTGAGAGTAAGATGTTTAAAACATTTATGCTGTCCTCTGTGGTTGAGAAAGACAGTGCAATTAAAGGAAGAGCAACAAAAATATTTATAATACGCCACATGTATCTTACTCCAAAGTACACACTGTTCAGAGCATCAGATCGAATGCTTCACAGATTTGCTAATAGCTATGCTTATGTTCTCAATTTCCATGCATGACCACAGCCATGACCTGAATTTTTAGTACATGATGCTGTTTTGTTTAATTTGAACAACAAAAGTAATGTTAACATTACAGCATAGTGTAATATCTTTATCTGGTAGTCCAGAAAAAAAATTAACAGTTTTACTTCCTCAATAACACTTTAGTGAAAAATATCGTTATTACTAAGCATACATACAGATACATTTTCACCACAGCAACATTTGCATAAACCTTAAAATATTTTAATTAGAATGAAATCAAAATGTATTATAACGTTTTTGTTTAGCTATGCTGTCTCAGTACTGAATGGTTATACTCCTGTCTCGTGTTCATCTTAGAATGAATTTCAGTTGTCTCATTCATTGAATACATGTATATTTTCTGTCATGACATGTTAAATGTGTGATTGTGTTCCTTATTTGATGGAGTGAAAAGATTTAACTCTGCATGGTATCCCACATTTTTATCATCTCTCAATGCTATGCTCATCAATTTTCCCATCTTTTGGTGCTTCATATAATTATTTCCAGCTCCACTTCTCCTCAGGGGAACTATTTTGTTATATTTGATATGCATTCACACCTAAAAAGCTCTTGCTTTTATTAGAAGGGAAAAAATTACAATAATATACTTGGACAGTAGGTGAATCAGTGTGACAAACCCATTGCTCTGTTTTCTCATGAAATGTTTTTTTCCATTGAATCACAGAAACAGATGTTTTAACACTACCATGAAAAATCTTCCTTTATCATCTGGCTGAAAAAGTAAAGAAGCCTGTCTATAACACCATTTGATATGGATACTGTACCTGTGTGTTTCCATAATTCACTTCCTAGCACAAATAATTAAAATCCTATTTAAAGATACTGCATTTAACCATGTCACTCAGATCTTAGCTGTCTAACAAGTTGTTGTGTTCTGCACTCTCACTTTATAGCTCCTAGTTCACCTCCACAATCCCTCTCAGTAAAACAGTTGTCGGGTGTCACTGTGAAGTTGTCATGGAAACAACCACTGGAGCCAAATGGAATTATCCTCTATTACACAGTTCATGTCTGGTAAGATTTTCTGGAAATAGTTCTGAGGATAAATATTAATCTGTAATCTAAAAAGAATGTAAGGTTTTTCTTATAGACCTTGTTGAATATACATTTTGAGAGTGAATATTAATAAGTTACTTAAAATACTTTCATATACACAAATGCCATTCTAAATAGGGGTATATGAAAATTGTAGAATTAAATGATTTGCAAGCATCTAAAATATTTTTCAAATGTTTTTGGTTTTGCAAAATGAGTTTATATTTAAATTAGCTGGGTGATCTCCCATCCTCACATATTAATTGGACCATTTGGGGTGTAATTAACGATAAAATAAGACCCCAACAAACCCTATTGTTTGGGGTCTGCTAATGTTTCCAGCTAAAGATGGACAAATATCCTCCTGATTGGATGGAGATGGCCAAGAACCATTGAAAAATGCTGTTTCAGCTCCCATTCAGTGGTCCGAACAAGCTAGGAGTTGTGATAGCAGTCCTTGTCCACTCTCTGACATTAGTAACACCCAGCGTGATATTTTGTACACATCATGTTTCCTGCTACTTCAGCACTTCCCAATACGTTGTTACCATGCCATCTTATCTGTCTTCTTCTCAACCCTGTTATAACACTCATTATAAGTGCTAGATATTATATTATATTATATTATATTATATTATATTATATTATATTATATTATATTATATTATATTATATTATATTATATTTATTTGTGCCTCTTGGAAGCTGTCTCTTCCTCCTTCAAAAAAAGACTATTGTCATTTTAAATCCCAGTTTAAAACTTTTTTTCACTCTCTTCTTCTGAACACTACTTGTTCTAAAGATTTGTCATAGCTTCCTTTTGTAAGCCCTACATATTGCCTTTACTGGGGATTGCCACATGTTGATTTGTTTATTTTGATTGTTGATTGCAGTTATTTATTGTATTTATGCTGTGCCCTTCTATTGCCATTACCCAATGCATAAGGGCAAATAGCTACAGAAATACATACCATGCAATCAATGTAAATTATGTATGCAAAATGGTACTGTGTTACAGCTGAGGAGTTCTTATAGATATATTACTACTAAATATGTACTCCTTATTTTTAAAAGTGACCTAAAAGTTTCTCCTGGCGGTAGCTAATTTTTATCTTTTTTCTTAGTTATAAACGTCTGCTTTAAAATAGTGGTAAGGTGAACACAAGTAATCCCACTCTCCAGAAGAGTATAAAGAGTATAAATTTCCACCACTCCTTCCACTGTACTGGCAAGTGCTAATGTCATCTGCATCTGTGGAGAACTTTGAACTGTGGATGAACTTGTAGCACAAACAGATCTCCTTCATGTTAAGGAATATGGTTTTGGTGCATACTGTGTTTAAAGACCTAAGGATATTAAAGATAAAAGAACTTCCTCTTTATTAAAATCCTTCCTTAAGACTTATTATATCTGTGATTACTACAGAATATATCATTATTAATCATTTTTCAATAACTTGTTAACTGAACCATCTAGATCTGCAGATGCCTAAATTAAGTAACCACAGAACTTCACTGATGTAACTCTTGTCCTTATCCTCTCCATCTACTCCCTTGTGTCTTATCCCCACATACCCTCTCACGTCTGAAATTAGATTGCCATTAGCTCTTTGAGGTAAGGACCTTGGGTGAAAACTCCCACTGACTTCAGTGGAGCCAGGATTTCATCCCTTGTCTTTTAAATTATTTAGAACATTTTTAGGTGCTATAAAATCATCATAATTAATTACTAGGGCTGATACGGCAAATAAGCTCTTGAACCACAACTTTTCTTAGTGGCAACATTTTCCAGCGGATATAACTAATGCAAGAGCTTCCTAATACCATGTAAAGAGGCAAAGATAGTGAATGCGGGCCATTTGAAAGTGTAGAAGAAAACTTATCTAAGTATTCTAACAACTATATTACATTAGCTGTAGGAAATGTAGCAACTTTTCTCAAAAAATGAAGCCAGAAATCCACAATGAAGAACTCAAATGTGAGCTAATAGTAAAAAAAAAACAAAAAACCTATCAGTTTTTAATGGTTTTCTTGCAAGAAATACACTATTTATAAGTTACAGGAATTTAAGAAAATATTGGTCTCAGTTGTGTTAGCTATCTAGCTCTAATGAATTTCTGTAGTTTTGGCTAAGGCTTGTTTCTTATTTGATTTGTGAGAAGTGCCTTTTAAAACTCAACATCTTTGATAATTTTTTGAATAATATAATGGATTTACAGTAGATGAAAGTTCTATTTCTATTTTAGGAGTTTCTGTATAGACAATATTGTTTTCTGTGGTATTTTTAGTAAAATGTATTATACTATGCTGCAGTTTTGTCATGAAAATGTATATATGTAATGATTTACTTCTTTAGGAATACAATGTTAAAAAGAAGTGTTAATGTAACAGAAACATCACTGATGTTCACAGACCTAGAAAATAACAATGAATACAAAGTTTATATAACAACAAGTACCAGATTTGGGGATGGAAACATAAAAAGTAGCATTATAAGCTTCAGAACTTCTGAAGGAGGTAAGCTTATGTATAGTAATAAATCATACAAATAATCTATAGTTGCATCCATAAGTTTGTGTCAACCTTATTTAAGCTTAGGCGAAAGCTGCGATTCCAATGGGGGTCTAATGTCTCTTCATCAAACAGAGCACTACATTTTGCTGCAAGACATTTAAATTTAAACGTCTCTTTATATTGCTCTTTGAAATGAAGTAAAAAGAGGAGAGTTTGGTTTTATTGCCCTTTGTTCTATCAAGCTGTGAAATAAGGTCCTGAGAAGGAAAGCCCTGACAGTTTTAGTGTGTCTTTCTCACAAACACAGGTGTAAAGTGGTTGTAGTCTGAAAGCAGTTTTATAAACATGGCATTATGGGATTCCAAGTTGATTTGATCCCAATGAATTTCATATACTTCAGAAGTGAAAGGTCTTTTTCTAGGAGGCAACACTGTACACTTAGCTTTGAAATTCAAGTTAGTTCCTTTCTGGCTCTGATGTCACCAATAATAACAATTCTGTCACTGAAACTTAGGTCCCTATCCTTCAATTAACTGTGTGCATGTTTCTCTGCACCTTTGTGGAGCCTTAGTGGCCAAAATGTGGTTCTGAATAAGCACATGGATTTTTCTGCACATAGTCATTTGTAGGATCAGTATCTTAGTCAATAATTCTGTGAATGATGGTGTGAGCTAGAATAGAATCTAACTCACAGTTCCCTAGCTGTATTGGCTCTACAATGCTAATGGTAGTAAAAAGTGTGAAAAACTTATTTTAGTTAATGAAACACGCATAAAGGACTCTGTATACACATGAAACACATTTGTTAAGATTGTATGCATGCATAACGCTTTGTGCATATGCATGAATTGGGATTTATATTTGCATAAAACAGTAAGTACACACACTTACACATCTCAAGTTGCATAGGTTCACTGAGTGCATAAACTTGGATTTGTGCATGTAAATGTATGCATGTCTTTGACTCTCTCTGAAAAATGAATGTCTTTGAAAATCAGGGCTTTCAAAGTGTATTGGTAGCCATTAGTTCAATTGTACCTTTCCCACCTCCTCCAGAGACAGGATCTATGCTTTAATATAACATTTTTTCAAGTCAATAAAGTCTAAATCTTGGGTAATAAAAAGCACAAAAACTTATGTTACATAAGCTAAATCTTAATCTTATTCCAGCACCAAGTGATCCACCAAAAGATGTCATGTACAGAAACCTCACTGCATCATCAATAATGGTTTTCTGGTCCCCTCCTCAAAGGCCTAATGGGATTATACAATATTATTCAGTTTATTACAAAAATAATTCAGGAATTTTTATAAAGGTAAGTTTCTTTTTATATCATTTTTGTAGATTTTAGTACAGAAAAATGCATTTACTTTTCTTTGAATCTTTAATGTATCATAAAAGATTAAACCAACTGTACAGTAAATGTCATATTCTTTTTTCACTCCCACCTCATTACCAGATAATTTTGATTTTTAGCATATTATTAAAAGGATAAGTGCATTAGCCTAACCCTCACCTTGAAATGATATTTGTGGTATCCTGCAATTTCAAAATTCCTATGCATCCCAAGGAGCATTTATGCTATTAAACATGAAGGGACTAATGCATACCAAAAAAAATAGAGTAAATTTCATGTAGAATAAATGATCTCGTGTTCTAGGCTGCAAAGTGAAATGATATGTGCCTAGTGAAATGACATTCTTATATGTTTTTAATGTATTTTTTGAGCAATAATGAAAATCAGAAGATAGTGTTGCCATAGGGAAGGATAGAATACCGCCTCATAGTCTGTTACTCCTTAGTAAATGTCTCTGCAGAAAACAATTTTTCTTTCTAACATAATTATAACATATTATTTTAAAACATAGAAGACAAATGAGGTTAGTCTACACTGTTTTAAATTATGGAAGAAATGCATTTGTTTATCAGTTATGAATAAATAAAAAATTAATTAATGGAGATATCCTATCTCCTAGAACTGGAAGGTCATCGAGTCCAGCCCCCTGCCTTCACTAGCAGGACCAAGTACTGATTTTTCCCCAGATCCCTAAGTGGCACCTTCAAGGATTGAACTCACAACCCTGAGTTTAGTAGGCCAATGCTCAAACCACTGAGCTATCCCTCCCCCAATCTGGGGATTAGGATGTGGTTTATTGTGTAGGTACTTCTCAGACTGATCTTAACTTTATGCATGATATATATTAATTGTCAATTAATCACAGTTAAAAAAATTAATCACGATTAATTGTATTGTTAAATAATAGAATACAAATTGAAATTTATTAAATATTTTGATGCTTTTCTACATTTTCATATATATGTATTTCAATTACAACACAGAATACAAAGTGTACAGTGCTCACTTTATATTATTTTTTATTACAAATATTTGCACTGTAAAAATGATAAACAAAAGAAATAGTATTTTTCAATTCACTTCATACAAGTACTGTAGTGCAATCTCTTTATCATGAAAGTGCAACTTACAAATGTTTTTTTGTTTGTTACATAACTGCACTCAAAAATAAAACGATGTAAAACTTTAGAGCCTACAAGTCCACTCAGTCCTACTTCTTGTTCAGCCAATCGCTAAGAGAAACAAGTTTGTTTACATTTATGGGAGATAATGCTGCCCACTTTTTAATTACAATGTCACCTGAAAGTGAGAACAGGCGTTCACATGGCACGGTTGTAGCTAGCGTCACAAGATATTTATGTGCCAGATGTGCTAAAGTTTCATATGCCTCTTCATGCTTCGGCCATCATTCTAGAGGACATGCTTCCATGCTGATGACGCTTGTTAAAAAAATAATGCGTTAATTAAATTTGTGACTGAACTCCTTGGGGGAGAATAGTATGTCTCCTGCTCTGTTTTACCTGCTTTCTGCAATATATTTCACCTTGGAAGTGCCTTCCAAAATCTGAGAGGGATGAGGTGTGGAGCATGCTTTCAGAAGTCTTAAAAGATCAACACTCTGATGCAGAAACTACAGAACCCAAACCACCAAAAAAGAAAATCAACCTTCTGCTGGTGGCATCAGACTCAGATGATGAAAATGAACATGCGTCGGTCTGCACTGCTTTGGATCGTTATTGAGCAGAACCGGTCATCTGCATGGACACATGTCCTCTGGAATAGTGGTTGAAGCATGAAGAGACATATGAATCTTTAGTGCATCTGGCATATAAATATCTTGCAATGCCGGCTACAACAGTGCCATGCAAATGCCTGTTCTCACTTTCAGGTGACATAAACAAGAAGCAGCCAGCATTATCTTCTGCAAATGTAAACAAACTTGTTTGTCTGAGCGATTGGCAGAACAAGAAGTAGGACTGAGTGGACTTGTAGGCTCTAAAGTTTTACATTGTTTTGTTTTTGAATGCGTTTTTTTTTTTACATAATTCTACATTTGTAAGTTTAACTTTCATGATAAAGAGATTGCACTACAGTACTTGTATTAGGTGAACTGAAAAATACTATTTCTTTTGTTTTTTATAGTGCAAATATATGTAATAAAAATAAATATAAAGTGAGTATTGTACACTTTGTATTCTGTGTTGTAACTGAAATCAATATATTTTAAAATGTAAAAAACATCCAAAATATTTAAATAAATGGAATTCTATTATTGTTTAATCAGGATTAATTTTTTAATCACACAATTTATCGCTATTAATTTTTTTAATCGCTTGACAGCCCTAATATTAACTATTTATTTATTTATTTATTTATTTATTTTGTATAACCGTAGTGCTGAGTAGCTCTATTCATGAACCAGGATATGAATTTTTAATTGCTTATATCCATATCATTCAAGAGTGTCTATAATTTATTTATCAAGGGGTAGCCATGTTAGTCTGTATCCACAAAAACAACAAGGAGTCCGGTGGCACCTTAAAGACTAACAGATTTATTTGGGCATAAGCTTTGGGGTACAAAATCTCACTTCTTCAAATGCCTCTGAAGAAGTGAGATTTTTTACCCACGAAAGCTTATACCCAAATAAATCTGTTAGTCTTTAAGGTGCCCCTGGACTCCTTGTTGTTTTTATAATTGATTTGTTCGTTATTTTATTATATTATATATTACTATATGCAAATATAATTCAAGAAAATATAATTTTCCTTAATAAATTTTTGGTTAAAAGCTTTGTGTTTGTGGAAGAAAATGAAGAAATGTAAGGTTATGAAGACATCAAAGTACAAAACAAGAAATCTGATCTATGTGGCATAATTTTACAGTTAGCGCTTACTGGATTTAGATATTTATTTTCCTGAAGATATATGTTTACATGTCACTCTGCAAATATAGGCCCTGCTCCTGCAATCTGCTCTGTGCGGGCCAATCTTTGCACTCATGTGTAGCCCCATTGAAATTGGTGGGGTTCTGCATGAGTGTAAGTTTCTGCCCACGTAGATCTGATTGCAGAATGGGAGCCATAGAGAAGACTCATTTCATGCCCCAAGAATTCACAATGTAATAATTAGCATGTGAGTTAGCTAGAAGTACCTTGGTTGCACAGTCTGTTAGGAGTAAAATTAGACCTATTAGTTGGGTTTGAGTTTATGGGTGCATGCCTATCTGAAATATGACTGTAAGCATACACATCAAATCATCCTTTCTGCTCCTCTTATCTGCTAGTCCTGCTAGCAGGCCAGGGTAAGCATAAGTATCTTATTCTCTTTGAGAATAGGGTGAATGGGCGATGGCACAATGTGAAGCTATGACCTTAGAGAAACCCAGACTTCAAATTGGCATTTAATGTCAGTTACAGCCTTCATTTTGAAGGACTGTTTAACCTTTTCATCTTGAAAAAGTTTGGTTTTAAATGTTTTTAATCTGTTACTTTTTTCCTTGGCACATTTTGCATGTCCACGTTTCATTTTTCATAGCGGTGCTTACTGCATGCCCAGTGTATGCTTCTAACTGATCATAACTTCTAATGTGGTTTGCTAAAAGCACATACCTTGATGCAGCCATTTTTCTGAATCCATTTTATTCTATGATGATCAGTACCAGTCCAGATTCCGTACATCACTTTTTATTTCTGTTTAAACAGCTTTCATGAATTTTTACATAATAAAAATTCAGAAATAAAACACAAAAACATAGTGAGAGATGTCATTCCACCATATAATTTCTACATCTTACAATTTTAGGAACTTTGTTGGTTGCTTCATATATTCTTTACATGGCACCTTGTGTAGAGAAAGAAATCTATCCATATACTTTATTCTACAAACCATCTCTTCTGTGGTTGAAAACAAGTACACATAGCTGTTTATTGATTCTCCTCTACAAAAAGTGGGCAATGTTCTATCACTAGCTCTAGCTTTTTAGTTCTACTTTGGTTAACGGTAATTGCTAAAAGTTTGTAATGCCCTTATCTCCATATTTGATCATTGATTTAGAAGCAAGCCACAATTAAGATAACGATGGTGTATTCATTTTTTTTTTTTGCTAAAGATACTTTTTGTTTAAATGATTCAAAAACTATGCCAGAGAGTTTAGAAGCCCAGCTAACTTGGGCTTTTCACGTAGGGAGAGCCTTTTTTTACCTTGAAAATTGATCCTACATCTTCACAATTACCTGCCTTTACCAGTTAGGGAACACTTCATGTGTGTTCTTTTCCATGTTCTTAGAAATGAACTGAATGCCTGTCCTGTTTTACTAAATCCTGTATTTCTTTAATCAGAGCTGGCAATAGCTTTCTTAGGGCAGGCCTGCAAAACAGTTTTTTTACCTCCAAAATATTACCTATTCCTGCACACCAGTGTCACATATGCACAGAGCTGACCTGAGGTTTGCAAGGAGGATTAAAGAGATGATTATTTGGAATATACCTCAAATTTAACTGACTAGTTTTACATAAGTATGTGCTGGGATAGGGAAATCTTTGGTCTCAGTTTCCTACCGCAGAAATGGTGCTCAGCTGCTCGTTCCTTTCAACCCTAGTGATCAGTTTATACTTACAAGGAAAATTACTAGAAACCCAGAGCCAGATTGTCAGATGGCATAAATGGATAGAGCCACATTGATGGAAGTGAAGCTATGCCAGTATACACCAGCAGAAGATCTGACCCATGCTTGTCTTAATGAAAGTTGAGATTCTCCTTTACATGTGTAGCTCCTCTGAAAGCTAGGAGTCCTGTGGCTGTTGGTTTCATCAGGTCCAAAACTCAGCTCTGCCTTAATGTATTTGTTATTTACAGATAAACTTACGTACTGATGTTCTAGCTGAGTTTAAATCTTTTTCTCTTAAGGTGAATGACCTAACCAAACCTCTTTTTCCATATTTATATTGGTAATTTAA